ATTAATACAACACAACAACTTTCAGCCGAGACTTGCCATCTTTCCTGTAGCAGTGCTCAAGCTCCAGTCGCTGCATGGTGGAGGCATCTGCCACCTCAATCAGGCCCAGGGAGCCATCCATACGCCCCACCAGCAGCACTTCCAGCGTGTCCCCTGCCCACACGGAGACGGGCCCTTCCTCGGGCCAGGCCAAGGCTGACACCCAGTGAGGCTGCATGGCCAGCAGACCTTTGCCTCCTGATGGAGGCACAGAAAACAGAGAACGCTCAGTGACACAAGTGTGTTCCATGTACTGCCACTAAAGGTCAGCGCGTTTAGGAAGTGTTTTTATAAGGTCGCCTCTGATGAAATATAAAGAACATGCTGACAGAATTACTGGATTTAAAACCTTTAACCGCTGGAGAATTGGACAGTGCCCAGGTTTATTTTTTTTTAAAACCATCTGCTTACAAGTTAGCCGAAAATAAAATGCATCCACACTTTAGAGGAGAACGTCATTTTTAATATTCTGTGTTTTTCGTGTAAAGGATTTCATATTTGCTTTTGGTTGACCTCTGCGAAGTCCCAGGGCTATAGATAAGAAACGAAATGGGTCAAGAAGCACCAACAATGACAGCACATAGTTCTCACCATTAACTTGCCAGATGTTGACCATTTTCTCCATGGCAGCTGCTAGATATTTGCCACTCACACTCCAGGACAGTGGAGACAGGCTGGGGTCACTGGGAGAGCCCAGGTTACTCAGACTCTCCTCCGATGTGCTTTCCCTAAGGTAAACAAACGGACAGATACAATTTACTCATTACTCATACAGATCTCAGATAGGAGACCTATATTATTCGTACTTGACATGCTTATGAGAAAAAAGGACTATATGAAAACGAAATGTCCTAAAAAAATTCTTCAAACAGAAGTTATTTTCTACAGAACTTCCAAACAAAAATATCATTTAATCATTAATTTTCCATTTTCAAAGAAATTTAGAAATCTACACATCAGGTTTTTACAGTTTGTCACCAATTAATATCTTTTTATTATATACCCATCCAATCAGGAAAATGCTTAAGCTTCAGCACTGCGCTGCGAGAATGAGGGCATTTGTTGCTCAGACATGCCAGATCAATTAATCTTTTGACAAACTGCAAACTCTACAGTGCCTCACAGGAGAGTCAAAGCACACTGGAGGAGCACTGCATCTCTCACTATATCACTGCAAGCCTGCAGGCGGCTAGCAAGTCACAGGCTTCACTGAGAGGACCAAGACTGGCTACCATTCACTCCACTCTGGAAGCATTCTGCCAATTGTGCTGCACTGAATAGGGAATCCTGCTCATACCCATCTAGTACCATGACTCAGGCTCAAACCAGGGATTATCTGGGCTTTAGGGCTCATATCGTACTTTTACTTAAAACTTTTAGAAAAGTTGAACAGCTGAAGTTGCGTAGCTAAACGGCTCAGAAGCACTGGAGAATTCGTTCGACTATCAAGATAGCTAATCAAATGCTATGCAAGTGAAATTAAGAAAATCAAGTGCCTACGGATCTGGTCAAAATTAAAAGTCACTTCTAAAACGAAGAGAGCTGCTTACGATTTATTAAAGACACAGGTCTGCTGCAGTGTGTATTGGTTCTTCGTCACATTCCACACTCTGACAGTACCATCATTCCCACTAGTTGCCAGTAATCCTTTTTTATTGCACCATCCACAAGTTATTACCTGGAATTAAAAAACAAACAAAAATAGCAGTGGTTGAACTTAAGTCAAATCTTTTATTTTGTTTTTCAAAAATGCCTGGCTCATAATAGTTTCTATTAGGACTAAACAGCTTCTTTTAATGCTATGCTTTATTCTGCTTGAAGGACATTTTAATGACTTCACTCCTGAAGTAGGAATAAACCTTTACTGCTCCTTTACAGCCTACACATGCTGACGCATCTATCTAACTGAACTTCTGTAGAGCTCATAGACCTAATGCATTCTGGTGAGTCTTGCAGAGAAGGCTTTCACTTGCAGGGAGTAAAATTAGGGAACATGACATATGGAAGGAAAAAATCCACCTGGCAGGGTGGTCTAAATTTTCCCTTTCTACATCCCTTTCTACCCTTTCTACATTTCTTTATCAATCCAACCATGCATCCATTTTCAAACTGCTTTTACCAACACAGGGTAATGGTGGAGGGGGGGAGCTAGAGCCTGTACTGGCAAGCAATGGGCACAAGACAGGATACACGCTGGATGGGACGCCAGTCCTTCGCAGGACATACAAACACACACACACACACCAGAGCTAATGAACCGGAGGAAATCCACACTTACATAGGGAGATCATTCAATATCCATGCAGACAGCATCACAGGAAGTGAAGCCAGTGCCCAAGTGAGACATTAATGCTAACCACTACACCACCATGCCTTTGTTAATTCAACAGATTCCAGTCAATCCAAGACTTGTCACTTACCAAACTGCCCCCATCTGGATGTACATATAAAAATAACAAACTTGAAGGGGAGTCTAAACTCATAAAAGGCCAAATTTCATGACAGAGTGTATACCTTAACCGTGTGCAACAGCTGTGCGGCCGCACTCAAAACCTTTAACTGTGGGAACTGTTATCGCAAGCGCTGGACAGATTTCGCCACGGCCTTGACCTACCCGGCTCTGGTGAGCTTCGAGCTTGAAGAACGAGCACTTGCGCAGATCCCCGGCCATGTCAGCGAACGTCTGCGGCCGGCTCTGGTTATCGCGGTCGTGCGCCGCCAGCGTGCGCACCAGCTGCTGCGCGGCCCACTGCCTGTGCTGCGAAGACAGCCGGGACGAGAGGCAGCAGGCTGCCAGCGCATTCGCCAGCTCCAGAGGGCCTACAGCGGAAGGGTTATAGGAAGGATGGGCATATAAATGCGCAATAAAACCTGCTCAGGAGAAACAATAACATGGTGCCCAGATGAGTACAGTGACAGAGAAAAACACGATTAACAACAACATATCACACAAGATAAAAAATATTTTTTGCACATAAAGTGACTAGCAAAGGCAGTTGAAGACATTACTACTTAGGGTAAGCAAAACAACACTAACATTTCTTTTTAATGTTCAATAAGTGCCAAAACAAAAGTCTGGCAAAATAAACTACTACCAGCAGCGAGACTGGTAAAACGTTTTAAAAGTAATTCACAACATTGACGTGTCAAAATAATAAGACGTTTATCTAATTGAACACCAAATTTTAATGAAATGAAAAACAAAACCCTAAAACAACAAGAATGCTCAGCAAGTGAACAAAAACCCATTCAGACCAAACAGTAAACAAAAATAGTAACAGCCACTGAAGTTAGCAATTAGCAAGGCAGAATTTGAAACTGTTTGCACAAAAATATCTTAATCTTTGTAAGCAGAAATCAGTGAAAGATAACAAACCTCTCTTCTCAACATCAGTCTTGTCATAGTTAGGTCTGAGCTTAGCCCCCTTATCTGCCAGCAGAGCCACTAGCGCTTGAGTGACTACAAAGTTGGGGGAGGTTACAAGTTTATTCTCCTCTGCAACTCCTCGAAGGAAACTTGGGAGAAACTTTCTCTGAATAGGATCGTCCACAGTGGTTAGATTCATCCCAGTGGCGGCAGAAATTAAGTTCTGAAAAGAGATTTAACGTTTCGTCAGAAACATGACAGCTGCAAAGCTGTGACTTACAGGAATGATTCAAAATTAAATTCTAAGCATGGTGATCTAGAATAAATTAACACACTGAAGCAAATGATTTGACAGATTTGTCAAAGGAAGCTCTTAACAGCTCTCTAGTCATTGACAGTGCTCTTCAGTATGTCTGATCAAGGAATGGTTCTTGCAAAAAGCGCACGTTTCCAAAGTCTTTTGCATAAGGTTTGAATAAACACGAATAACATCCCAGTGACTTCTTTAGATCAGTGGATCTGGAAGGCAGAAAGCAGACTGTATTTTGGGAACGGAAACAAAATCCCGTGGCGGCTCGCGATACATCACCTGCGTGCAGAGCTGGACAAGCAGCTTAGCCGCGTTGGGGCTGTTGGATGCCAGGCAGCCCACAGCCGTGCTCAGGTAGGCCAGGCAGGAGATGGGCTTGCTGGCCTTTGTGGCTCCCCGGGGGCGCTCGGCAGAGCCGGAGGCAGCTGTGGGGCTGGTGGAGAGGCCCGCCCGACCCGCGGCGGCCAGGCACATCAGACGCACCAGAGTCCTGATGTCCGTCAGACCCAGGGACTCCAGGCCGGCCGCGAGGCTGCAGCTAGACCCGCTGGCCGAGACAGCGGCAGGAGGATAAACGCACAAAATAATCTTCACTTTCAAATACTGACGCACACGGCGTCTCAAAATAAAACATCACTGACAACACTTATAACCTTGGTACCTACAACAGAATAAAAACTTACAGAAAGTGCTACTGAGAAAATAAGGGAGTAAAAAATAAGAAAGTCTGAACTAGTTAAGAGTTACAGCACCTTATGGGATTCAGCGGGTCGAGCCGGTACTTGACCAACTTGCCGGAGGAGTTTTGCCTCACCTGACGGAGAGCAGCGACAGAGCCCTCATGACCATGGTCCTGGCCAGCAGCACTTGCGCGGCCGCGGTCACTCTCCTCAGGGCCATCACCCTGTCGTGGGGGTTGAGCAGGGCGGCAGCCTGCTCTCCCAGCGTCACCCGGCCCGACGAGCTCTTCTCCACAGAGCCGTGACAGCCTGAACCAACACACACACGACAGCAGCAGCGAATTATCCCACACGTGCTGACATACTCCCCTCGACTCAGAGGATCAGGGATAGAAGACAAATAAAAGCTTCTACTCAAGATACATTACAGTTTATAACGATAGTGGTTTACAGAGGAGAAAGCGTGTTTAAAAATGTAAGATGTGTATTGCATTGTCTACTCCCCTCCTCTCACTGTGAGCAGATTGCGGGGGATCAGTCAGACCCTGTATGTCTTTTCTAATGTGTCACTTCATTACTCTCTCCAGAGTTTACACAGGAAGAGATGTGAGAGCCACTGGGTTACAGTTGGTAATCTCTCTTGGCCTGGAATTAATGAGAAGTGGAGATCTGATTTTTCTACAGAGGGGATAATTTGAAGACATCTGAAAAAACAAAGATTCTCACATAGTTGATAAACACAAGAGTAAAGAACTCTGCTACACTGATTAACTTTGCCTGTACTCTTTCTTTCATTTCTATATATCCTAGGCACCTCTGCTACTGTATATCAATCTTAATCAACTCCTCTGAAGCTCAACTTTATAAGCTTTTATATGAAAACTAAGGGGAATTTAATTTACCCTAGGCAAAAATTAAAAACAAAGTTCTTGTGGAATATATATCCATTGGTGAAGTGCAGGATTGAAAAGGGAATTACAGTATACAGGGTCTGGAATTAGGGATCAGCATCACCTTTAAATTATGCTAGAAGGACTAACAAAACAAACAGCTTTTGTGATAAGCAAGAAACAACATACATTCTTTCATAGTTTAAGTTTAAATGTTTTTTGGCAAGTTTAAACATGTTGCTTGACAAAAAATACCACTGTAAATGCGGAAGATTATTTGCCAGCTATCAGCAATATAAAAACCAAAATAACTTCTACAGCTATTGCTACTGGTAACAACGATTTGCACATATCAAGCATGTTAGCTTTCCATTCACTTTTATAAAGAAATACACATTTCTCCACTAATCTTGAATAACACAATATTGTTTTTTTTCCAAAAAATATACAGAATGTAATTATAAGATCTATGTACTACAATAGGTATCGGTACTATGTACTATAATGCTTTTGAGATCATAAAAAACACTAGTAATAGCTTCAGTGAGATCAATGGTGGTTCAGTCACAATTGTGGCTCCAGAATTAGGATGAACAGGTCAGAGTAAGATTTGCACAGGTGTGTTGACACTTGGTATGACAATTCATGCGAAAGTACACCCCTTTCAACCAAGACATCAAACAGTGTTTAGAAAGAAGCCGTGTTAGAAGAGAAATGCGAGTCTGTTACAGTAACATCATTAAGGGTGCCTGCTTCGTGTGTGGGCTATTCAGGCTCAGACAAGGCATGGACTGAATCCAGGCTGATGACTGTTACCGCAAATGTCACACAGTCTGAATAAATGAGCTTGGCAGGCCGGATGCGGCCCGCAGGCCATATGTTTGACAGCCCTGACCTAAAGTCATCGTGACTGAAGACTGATAATGTGGAAGGCGTCACTGACAGGAGCAGTCAGAGGCACAGTGGGACTTTTACAACCACTCACACCAGAGAGCAAAATGGGAACTTTTTATGATGTCAAGACCTCTTCAATACTCTTCAATATGAGCATTGCATCACTAGAGTTGATCTCTCTAGTTCATGATCTCCATTCAGCTCTGAATTGGCTTCATTACTCTGCTCTCCTCCCCACTAATAGCTGATGTGTGGTGAGCGTTCTGGCGCACTGTGGCTGCCATTGCATCATCCAGGTGGGGCTGCACACTGGTGGTGGTGGAAGGGAGTCCCCATTACCTGTAAAGCGCTTTGATTGGCGTGTCCAGAAAAGCGCTATATAAGTGTAAGCAATTATTAATTATTATTAGAGGACGTGCTTACATACCTATCTGAAGAAGGGTTTCCTCCATGCTGTTGGTGGCTGTAACCATGGCAACAGAGGCGCCCAAGGGATCGCTGTCAGGGAACTGGACGGCCTCTGGGACCACCCTGCGTTCACTGAGGCCCAGTGGCCCAGCCAGCAGCTCAAACTCTTCTTCCCCGGTTAGTTTCTCATCCTCATCCACATCCAGCATGTCCCAGTCTTCTGCCAAAACAAACAGCAAATGTTTCAGTACTAAACCACTAACAAAGATGAGTCGCCTCTAAGAAACCTCAATAGCAACCGCAGACCTGAAATATCACCTGCTATCAAGTCTGCTTAAAATTCAGGAAATGCTTCTAAAATAAAATCTTAAAATGTGAACATCTAAAAGACGGAGAAACAACCTTTTTCATTTACAAAAAAGGTATCCTTACCTTCATATACACTGTCCTGCTTCCCAAGCAAGTCAGGAGCCTGTCCTTTGTACCTGAATATAAAAGGGTAAAAACAGACTTTGAGTCTCCCATGCTCAAAATCACGATTTCAGAAGACAGATTTGATGACTGTAAATCGATAAACAATGAATACGAATATTTTTTTTTAATTTTTAAAATAGTACAAACGAAGCTGACTCCATCTATTTCAGATGAAGCAAAATGCAAGGAAACCCCTCTTTCCACACCCACTCCATTTTCAAACAAAGAACGAGCGATTTTACCACAACCCACACCAAGAAAAGCAGTCAGAAAATGGATGGGTGAACAGGCGATAAAAAAGGGGCAAAACCACTCTCTTGACAATCCTTCTTAAGAAGGCAGTCAAACACCGTCTTACTGGCAGTTTTGAGAGTGTTAACCTCGACCACACGTACCTTTCCAGGACGGGCACCTTGGCTTTACTCTTGAGGGAAAGGTATTTCTCCCTGCAGCTGCCACAGAGCAGGAAGTAAGGGTTGCCGCTGCCACACTCTCCACCGAACCAGCCATCCACGTAGGAGCCGTTGCTCCGGTAGCCCTGCCGGTTGGCACTGCCCCCACAGCCCGGGTGGTTCTTCTTCATGTGCTGGTTGAAGTTGGCCACGCTCGACTCGCAGAGCTCGCAGATCACCACCTCCTCACGGTCCTCCGTCTCGCAGACATGCTGCAAGGCACAGCAAGGCCGCTTTATGTTTTAGCCTCTTACTAACAAAAACCAAAAGGGTCCGATGCGACTCAACAGGCCAGGCTTCTTCAGATCCATCTCATCTTCTTATGTTAAGGTTAGCCCACATACAAGAGCACAAGCTCCACAGAAGTCCTGTCATGCTGCAGTGCCCAAGCAGTCAATATCTGAAGCAAAGCATGTTAATAGTAAAATATTTATCCTGCAGCTACACATTGTAAGGCTGTGTGGTTTCCATGACTAGTTCTTTACATCAGGACTTCCAATAATCTGAATAAGTCTCAAGATGTTGATAAAACCTCATATCAAGCCATGTAATGAGTAATCATTAATCAATCTATCCATCGTAAGTGTAATTATATCTCTGTCTTCCCATTACTACATAATACATAACAACCAGATTATGTTGTAGATAGCTGTACGATGCTTGTTCCTTCTGAATACTGAATTCCGAGATTGCTGATTTACATTAAGCATCAATCAGAATCTGATGCATAATGAGAATCCCAAACACTATATCGTCAAATCAGATTTATGAATTATTGTGGACTATATGTTGTTTTCCAATTAAACTGCTGCGATTCTGAAATAGCAAAGAAGAAAGTTACGGAGTAGAACTAACTGTGTAATATAAACAATTTGGGAACTTTTTCATGGGAAGAATCACTTTGTAGGTCAGACTTGCAGGGGATCAGGACTGCATTGCGATATTGACAGAACAGTTAATGAAAAACACACTGCCCTTTTTACAGCCAATTGTGTAGAAAAGGTACAAAGCAAAGAAGCAGTTTCTAGTCCCTGGACAGAAGCGTAGGGCGGTGCAGAGCGCAGAAGAAACGAAAGCAGCCCCAGCTGCAGTCACACACACCCATGTTGGCCAGTCCAGTACCTCCGGGATCCACATTCCCAGAATGTCAGTGTCGCTGGCCAGATCCTGGCCGAACATGGCCTCCATGGCCTCGTCGTCCAGGTCGATCTCCAGCTCTTCGTCCAGGTTGAAGTCGTACAGCGCCCCGGGGTCCTGCTGCACTGGGGCGCCCTCTCGGCGACTCTGGTTCCTGTGGGCCTGCACGGAGCGATACAGCCCGGCTGGAAGGTAAAAAAACAACAAAAACGAGTCAACTACCACCTACAGCTGACTTCCTAAGGGTGATGGTGCTGGTGGGGGGTTCGCCTGATTCAGAATGTTTGAAGAAAAAGTCCCAGTTGGTTAATCTTCACCTGGTTAAGAGTTTGAGTTTAAATGATGGAGGTCACATGCGACAGACCACTGTCTGTCAAGACTCAGTTTAAATTTCTTCCAGGTATTACTTAATGCAGTAAGTAGAAAAGGACATTTTGAGGTCATTCAGAGGACTCAGTGAGAAAACTGACAAAGCATATTTCAAATTTCAAATGCTTGAGGCACGACTTGCAGAATGGCAGAAAAACACCCCCACGAAACCCCAGTGATAACGGCAAAACAAGAGCGGTTTAAAACAGAAGAAACTGGAAATTTAGTAGAACAGGCTGTCCGCCAGGTAATGAAACATGGCAATGAAAGAATAATAAAATAAATAAAACACATGTTCCACCACCTCTGCTCGCTGCTAGACAAACGCCTCTGCGAACTGTGGTGGCACACGGCACCGCGTGGAAATGGACGGAATCGCCGCTCACCCGCCCGCGCCAGCAGCGTTCGTGCGGCCAGATCGAAGCGGTGTTTCCTGGTGGCCGCCGATCGGCCCCTCAGCGCAGGGCCGCTGGACGCAGACGCGCTCTCCCCGTGGTCCAGGCCCTCGGGGCTGCAACGCAGGGACAAAGAGACACTCCTGAGAGACGGACAGCCTCCTGTTCCCATGTCAACGCGCAGCCTGCTGCAGCGCCTGGGAGCATCCTGATCTACTATTAAATTAGTGGTAAGAAACGCCATCAAGAATCACCTTCACGTTCCGTTTAATGGCTCATTTTTTACATCAATTGAGAGCACAAAGGCTTCCCTTTTCTTTAACAGAGAACATTTATATCCCATACACACTTTATCAGTGAATATGAACACATCTCAAAGACAAGGGGATATAGAGATGCCCCTTTTATTGGTAAAAACAACACTGTTTATTGCCCCTGCGTGGAAGTTAATGAAGAAGTCCAAAGCACGTAAATCTGCTTCCAATAAACCACAATATGATTTTCTACGTCTTAGCATCTATTTAATACGTAGAGGTCAAAATAGAGCTCCACAACAGTCGTCAGATTAAGCATCCTTTTAAGAACATTACAATTGAAATGTTTGAGAATATATATATTCGTAGGGGTGTTACCCTGGTGTTCTGGCCAAATTTCCCATTGGCCCTTACCAATCCTAGCCTCCTAATAATCCCCATCTATGAATTGGCTTCATTACTCTGTTCTCCTCCCCACTAATAGCTGATGTGTGGTGAGCATTCTGGCGCACTATGGGTGCCGTCACGTCATCCACGTGGGTGCAGCACACCGGTGGTGGTGGAAGGGTGTCCCCATCACTTGTAAAAGCGCTTTGAGCAGGGTGTCCAGACAAGTGCTATATAAGTGTAAGGAATTCTTATTATTATAGATAAAAACACAAGCAGGTATGAAGGTAACCAGAAGGTACCCTTCACTGAAGCCTTCCTCCATCTCAGTGGCGTCTGCAGCAGGGATCTCCCCTGGCGACTGCAGGTAGTTGGCGTCTCTGGACTTCCCGCCTCCAGCAGAAGCTGTGGCCCCTGGACAGGATTCAGTAGCCCCTGCAGACTGCGGCTCCTCTTCATCCTCAGTGCCAGGGTGCTCGATCATCCACATGGCCAGGACCGTGATGTTCTGGGCATCAGCCTCTCCCCGGGCACCTGAGCCACACAGCCAAAGATGCCAGAGCTCATTCCAACGTAGAAACCGCTTTCTACGCAAATCAGACTGATCCGATCCCGAGTGGCAACCCAAATCGAAAGCACGCTGCTGCTCTTATGTAATTAACTGTGACTGATTTTTCTACTGCATTACACTCACCGTAAATTTTAAAACCTTATCTTATTTTAGTGGTGGAAAGCATACTATATACAGTAGGAGCAAAAGCAAAATCCATCCATTGAGGAGACATGTACGGAAGCCTAGTAGTGGAAAAAAAAATAGGTGTGTTCAAACGAGATAACAGTCCATTGAAAACAAGATGGTGTTTCTAACGCAGCGCCAGCAACAGGACTCTCCTCATCAATGCATTACTCTTGCAATATTATTGCAATAAATATTTTGTTTAAACACATTAAGAATCTTGTTTAAATGCACTTTTATCTAACTTAAACACAAGAAATATTTTTTTCTCTCCATGGCACTAATAGGCATCTGTGGAAATGCAACTCAACCATTAACACTTTCCAGTCATCAGATGCAAGGACTTTCCATTTTTGGAGATGTGGCTGTTTGTAATCCGGTACTGATTAGCAATACAGATGTAGATGCAAAATTATTCATGCATACAATGACAATTTACACAGAAGACAGAGGGTCTACTGACATTCATGTTAACATTCAAGACTGGGCTGTGTATCTAATTACAGCTTAGTATCATGTAAATATCTGCAAGAAGGAAATATAGCAGTTACTATATGCAGGGCTTTCAATTCAATCAGGCATGATCATCCTGGTTGACCGAAATAAATTCCAGATAGTGTTTTTGTCACACACCCCCACACGTTTTGGGAACTGTAGCAGGCAATCCGGGGAAAACATCCCAGAACCTCCTTCCTTACCTGTGGCTTCCATGGCCTTTGTTATCTGCCGAAGGGAGAAGCCCATTTCCAGGAGAGGGACAGCAATGGCAGGAGGCGGGGGGGAGGTCGAGAGCCTGCTGCTGGGGTCTGACAAGGCTGCGGAACAACACACCGTTAAGGGCATCGGGAACACTAACCCACACAGCAGGCGCTGTTAATCACTCCACAGAGCATTTACAAGCGGACTACCTACAAAGCCGAACAAGCAAGTGCCTGTGTGACTCACACGAGAATCAAAAACACTCCCTAGCAGCTCTTTAGCCCTGGCACAAATAACGTACGCATGGAGAATAGTTAAAGACAAATTCGTAAAAAGGTAATACGTAATTCAAGCCGTAATAGACTGAAACTATATATAAGCGTTAAAAGACAGTTATTTTATATTAGCTGATGGCATTTGAAATGTGAAACGCATTCATTATACGTATATGGCTATATATACGTATACATATGGCCGTATTCAATATACTAAAGAAAGGCATTTCATATCTATCCATCCATTTTCTAACCTCTTTATCAAAAATAGGAGCAAGGGGGAGCTGAAGCCTATCCCAGCTAGCAACGGTAACAAGGACTCCGGTCCATCTCGGGGCACACAGACACTCACACACAAGCCACTTTTCTCAAATGCTAAGTAACCTTTGAGTATGTCTTTCGACTGTGGGAGGAAACCGGGGCATCAGGAGGGGGCGCACCCAAACATGGGGACAGCATACAATCTGCAAGCCGAGGGCACCCCAGGAAATGAACCCAGGTCACCAGCTCTACGAGGCAGCAGTGCAAGCCCCCATGTTGGCCATTTCAAATCTGACAGGACCCAAAATAAACACAGGCTAAATTATGGCCTAATCATTTGAGCTTTCTTCTGAAACAGAGATGTGAAAAAGCAGTCTACCCTACTGCAGTACACATCCTGAACAGCTAACAGCAATGTTATGAGTCAATGCATATCTGCACTATGCACTTTTTGCATGGTCTGCCATGTTTTGTTTTTCTCCACAACACATTTATTGTTCTCTTATTATTTATTCTGTTTGTAAAGTACCGCCTACATTGTGTGGTGTTATCTGCTGTACTGTGATTGTAAAGAGAGATTAGCGCGAATAACAGTTCGAATAACAATACACGTGTACATATGGCAATAAACTCCTCTACTGCTCTACTCCTCATTCTCCCATTCAGACAGCCGGACCGGGGTGTGGAGGAAATTGGGAACCAGCTGGTACCGGTGCGGTTGGCTGCTCTGGTGGGCTGGGAGTCGGGCGAGGTCAAACTCTGTCGCCTTCCCACTTCGTCTGAAGGGGATGTTGGAAGAGAGGAGACAGGTGGGGTCTGTGCGCGACGCGTGGGCAGCACCGTGGTGGTTGGGTAACTGGAGAACATTTGCCTGCTCGAGCAATTAGGAACACGAAGGGGACATTACACAATGAATGTCTGAACGTCTGGTGGCTTGCTCGTTAATAAAAATACAAAACCCCACAGTCACGTAGAGTACCACACACAGACTAATCAAAAAAACTTAAAAGCTATTATATTTGAAGCTACATTTTATAATCAAATACCAAAAATCAACCCAAGAACAAAAAAATATATATACAGACTGTTACAATCAATAAAATATATATACCATAATTTTTCCTTTGGTTAGGTTTTCTAGAATAAAACTAAAACAAGAGGAAGAAAATCAACAAAACACAAAAGATAAATGGCACGTGGATGCCTGAAACGTGAAAGAAACGGGAAACTCTGATCTGGCAAAAGAAAGAAATGAAGCGGGCAGCGACGTTGCTGACCGGCACCGCCGGGCGATGGGCGCACCTGAGCAGGCTGAGGGGCATGACCCCTGGGGACTCGGAGGCCGGCACGGTCTCGGTGTCGGTGACCGGAGTGGTGGCGGTGGTGGTGTCCTCCAGGGAGCTGCTCATGAAGGACGTGGTGCTGGAGGCTGAGGGGCTGGTAGTCACTGGGGTCTGGGCCTGCTGAACACCATCGGTCTCCTCCGACTCTGGATCTACGTCTGCAAAGGAGAGCAAACACCCAAAGAAATAAACTGAAGCTGATCCAAGAGCTGGCGAGTTTGTTCACGCGGTTGCAGCTTTTTTGTTGTCGTAAAGGCTGAAATCAAGACAAATCACGTCGGACCTTTTTTCACCTTTAATACAATCTTGTAACCAACAACATTTAAGTGGAAAAAAAAGGAACATTTTTAGGAAGAAGAATTTAAAATAAAAAACTTCCAATGCCTTGGTTGCATAAGTGTGCACAGCCTGTAACTAATACTTCATGGAAGCACCTATTTCTTCAGTTACAGCAGTAAGTCTGTTTGGATAGGTCTCTATCAACCTTTGCAATTTTATCCCACTCTTCTGCAAAGAAGCTCAGTCAAATTGTGAGGGGATCTCCTGTGCACAGCCCTCTTTAGGCCAGTCCACAGATTTTCTATAGGATCGAAGTCCGGGCTCTGACTGGGCCATTCCAGGACATTGATCTTCCTTTTTTAAGCCATTCTCTGGTTGAGTTGGCTGTGTGCATTATGGCAGTAACTATTAAAGCAGACACAGCAACAGGCAATCCGAACACAGTAATGAACTGGTGAAAACAAATGCTTAATTATACCCCAACTAAAAGTTAATGGAACTGGCTAAATTGTAGGAGCAGTCAGATACATATGTAGCTATACATACCAGGTTTGACCTTGCCACCAAACTGGTCTTCCAGTAGTCCATTCACCACTAGCTTATAGATCATCGCCTGAGCCCTTTCCAGGTCGGCTAGTCCAAGGGCACGTTTGATGGGTGACCTCATGACCGCGCGCTTGACCATGTGGCGCATCAGGAACTGCAGGGCAGCCCTCATCTCCACCTCCTCCTGGAAGACCGGGGAGCCCGCACAGTCCGAGTTATGGCCGTTCTCCGTCAGCACCTTAGGGATGAGCAAGAGCTCGGCGTACTTGCTGCAGCTCAGCAGAGCACTGAGCGACTTCATGGCTCCCAGGTAGAGGTAGGAGAGCTGGACGGCTCGGATCTCGGACTGCACCAGGTCGTGGGTCCTCAGCCCGTGCTCGTGGAGCTTCCTCTTTCCTTCCGCCTGATGGTGCTGAGGGTCTAGCCCCGTCTGGGGGTCTAAGGAGAAGGAGGCGATTTCATTTTCCGACTTGCAGCTGGCGGCGTGAGCTTTGACCTCATCGAGGCTGTGAGAGATCCGCAGGTCAGTGGCTTCCTTCGGGTGCTCCCCCTCCGTTTTCTGCTCCGGATCCCCCTTCTCCTCAGACTCGTGCCTGTGCTTCTTCTCGTGGCGCCTGGTGCTAAGCTTCCCCGAGTCCTCGTGGATGCCAGTGAGGTACGTGAGGTCTAGGAGCAGAGAGGCGGTCAGGCCCCTGAATCTGGAGACGTCGAAGGGCAGCGGCTCACAGGGCTCCAGGTTGTACAGGGGAGTGTCACTAGGCGACCAAAAAGTTGGGAAGCTTTAATAAAGATCAGAGCGACATAGGAAACAAGAAGTGAGGGAAAGACAGGAGGATAGATACAGAAGACAGTGCATCATGGAAGAGATCTTTAAAAAAAATGGCTGAATGAGAAGAAACACTTTAAAAAAAGTGCGCTGCCACGCAGTAAATGAAGGAGGAGTATAGACAGGTGTAGTTAAAGCACATTTTAAGAGAGAGGCGCACAAAGTCACAGCAGTCCTAGCTCTACAATCCTTCAAGCAAGAAAAACAAAACTGGGCAGCAATGGCAAAATGAGAGCAGACTGACATTCATTAATTCTACAAGTAAACACTATAACATAAATGACACCTATAAGCTGATCAAACAGACTAAAGTCTAAATGTTTTGCACAGCACAGTTATTGCCTTTTACCTTCAAAAGAGGTAAGGAAATTATCAGAGGTACTTCTTAAGATTATGTCAACATACTCAAGAATTCAAGAAATGTATAAATAAGGAATACAAGGGCAAAGTTCTTATGCAGACAAGCTGATTTGATACAGCAAGGAAAATGGCTTTAGTGATTAACTAAAGGAAAAGCCACAATACTGCTAGCTTAAGTAAAAACCATTAAAGCCAGATGCTCAGGACAAAATCCCCCCATGCTTATCAAAGCTCATACCTGATTGTGATCTCGGCCTCGTCCCACTGCACTTTGGCAGACGTGCTCCCCTCTTTCACCACCCCCAGGAGAGTGGCGTGGCGGCCCGTCTGCTTGTGGACACATCTCCCTCCCACGCGCAGGCCGGCGTCCGCCCCCCCGATGACGGCCAGGACCGGCCACACCTCGGTGCACAGCGCCTTGAGCTGGGCCTCGGACAGCTCGGCCAGGCCGTGCCGGCCGGGCCGGCCCTTGTCCTCCTCCCGGAGCTCCTCCCTGGCCTCGCGCTCCTCGCGGCTCTGCACCGAGCGGCTCTTCCTCAGCCGCTGGCCGCCCTCCCTGCAGCAGGCCTTGATCCCGCGCAGCCGCTCCATCATGTTCCCGTTGATGCAGTGGGTCCAGAGGTCGGTGCGGTGCAGGATGCGGATCAGCTGGGTGGTGGCCTCGGCCAGGACTGTGGCCACGGGGCTGCAGATGGGGTCCCCGGGCAGCAGGTCCCTCGGAGTGCCTCGCATCTGCATGTCACAGATCTTCACCTGACAAAAGAACCCGACACGCAGCACAGCTCTAACTTCCTCATGTCACGGTGTTACTAGGCATCAGGCTAGTGCAGGTGCAGAAGAAAACCGGACGAGACTGTTCATCCTGATGGCTTTTTTTGCTTACGTCTAGACCTCAGCATGCTTCAGGCTGTAAACCTGCCATCTTCTCAGACATGGGATACATGAAAAAATGCTTTGATTTGGTACGACAGCCTTCTAAAGGGCTCTAGCAGTGCAAACGTAGGAGGAAACCATTGGTCCGAATTGAACAGGCATGAAAAAGAAAAATATCTATTTGCGATCAAAAGACTTTGCGAATGATCCAATTAACACAGCAGCAGGTTTGAGAAAAAAAACGGTTTCACAGTTCTGCGGAAGTGTATAATAATCGCTTACACTGATATAGTGCTTTTCTGGACACTCCACTTAAAGTGCTTTACAGGTAATGGGGACTCCCCTCTACCACCCCCACTGTGCAGCATCCACCTAGCTATGTGTATATAAGCAGCCACAAGGTGGCAGGATGTACTCTTAAATAAACCCGATTAATCTACACTGAAAGCACACATTTGCAGGCCACTATGTTTTTTTTGTGGACACTCCATTTACAGCACTTTACAGGTAATGGGGATCCCCTCCACCACCACCAGTGTGCAGCCCCACCTGGATGATGTGACGGCAGCCATAGTGCACCAGTACACTCATCACACCCCAGCTCTCAGTGGGGAGGAGAGTAGAGTGATGAAGGCAGTTCAGAGATGGGGATTATTAGGAGGCCACGATTGGTAAGGACCAATGGGAAATTTGGCCAGGACGCCGGTGTAACACCCCTACTTTTTTCGAGAAACACCCTGGGATTTTTAATGACCACAGAGAGTCAGGACCTTGTTTTACATCTCATCCGAAGGACGGCGCCTTTTTACAGTATAGAGTCCCCGTCACTATACTGGGGCATTAGGACCCACACAGACTGCAGGGTGAGCGCCCCCTGCTGGCCCCACTAACACCTCTAAAGTCAATCAGTTCCAGGTTGAAAGCTCAAAGTTGACTTTTTCAGATAACTTACCTTTTCACCAGGGTTACTGCTGTAAAACATCACACAAGGGTACAGTTCAGTAGCATCCACATCTTCAAAGGCTAGTTTGGGCTCCTGCAGTAAAGTGTAAAGGCTTTCAACAACAACAATTAACAACAACTAACATTAACAACAGCTACAATTCATAAAACACACTTAATATTGTAGAAAATCATTCAGGTCATCCTTAATTCTACAAGAATCAATGTCTTTCCCATTCAAAATTTCTACTCAGTTGCTGTGCTGCACAGAAGCTTCGATTTTTGTTGTCACACTTGAACAAAATAAAATGATTTAACCACTCGCGTTACCTAGCAAAATCTAAACTCCATCAGATGTGAAATAAAAGCAGAATGAAGTTAACCTAAGTGGAAAACGTATGTGTAAGAAATGTTCTCAAATACATTTTTTAGATCACTGGCTGCTGTTAATTCACTAGTTTTCAAAGTGAAATTTCCACAAATGCTCAAGCAGTCCTCCCACGTTTAGGCTCATATACATACCTTTTATAGTCTTCCTTTAAAATGTAAAGAACCCTACTAGGTCAGTAAAAAAATGTGTAGAACAGAAAAATAACTTTTGAAAAATACTGCAATATTGTAAAACCATCCAAACAAGAAAGCTTGAAGTGTTTAAGACATGGGTTTAATTCTGAATTAAAAAAACTGACAAGATAATTCAAGTTTTATAAGCCATCAATATTTTCTCACCTGCAAGTAAATAATAAAGTAAACTGCACCGTTCCTTACCTCCCCATTCTTCCCAAAAGAGATGGTCCGTGCCTCCATATCTAACACACAGGTGACATAGTCACCCTGTGTGAAGCTGGACAGTGTCAGAGTCTGCTCCCCATTGTGATACAAGTTCCCACTGTACGCTCTGTACAGCCACATGTCTGAGGTGGTGCGATGATTGAAATCATGAACCGGCCAGCGAGACACCCCGACACAAGTCCCTTCGTTACCCCGGTTCTCTTTAACAATGTAGAACTACAAAAGGGAGATGACAACTTAAGACATCAAGTCAAACACTGACTCATTTTAAGCACAAAGAATTCTTAAGGTAGGGGGGCTGCGCTTGCTTGCAATGAGAACTTAATTTAACTTGGGTTTTTTCAAATATTACATTTTGGCGACTACATTATCTTAAACACAAACTGCACTAATTGTTAATGAAACCTAATGAAATCCTAAAAACCCCTTGCTCAATGCCACAAGTTAAGTTTGGCAGAAATTAAGTGCATCTTGGGAAACCTTGGCTTACAGCTCTATTCTTGATTGCTCTACCCTGGAAGCACACCGTGCCAAACAGCTATGTGGTCCTTGTCTAACAGATGACTGCACTTCAAAATCAAGGTACCTAAAAGAACTCACATTGGCTTTTTATGCCTGTTAAGCTACATCACTGTGGCAGACAATCAGGATCAATGTCTCAGGGTAGATGAGGCTAACCATCCTAATTGTCAATAAATACAGCTGTCAATACAGACAAGTATTTTTTTTCTTTCTGGTGAATGTAAAGAACAACATTAATGGCAGACACAAAGTCTGACAATCAAATGCCATTTTAATAATTGAGTTCTGGGAAAAAAAACCATGATTTACAGCTCGCCAGATAGAACTCTAATTCAGCACAAGTCAGTGCACTACAGACTTGACAAAACCTTCAAAATAACCTTCTGATTTCAAGTATCTGTAAACTGGAAACAACAGAGTAATTGAAATGTCCTATTTCTGGACAGTTCAAAGAGGCCAGAGAAACGTAGATAACATTTTTTAATCAAAGGGTGGAGGGGCTGGCTTACATATTTATTTCGAAGCCAATGATCTAAGAAACCAGAACCCCGTCATTTGTGCCGAGTTCATCCGTATTATAAACGTCTCTGTCAATCAGCTGCTTTAGAGTTAACTGTCCAGACTTGCCCTCTATACAGTCAGTCTTACCTTCCACTGGTAGCAGCCAGATGTGATTCCCGTGGAGGCCAGCCCATAGCCTTTCCCTCCACTGCCATGAGTCAGGCCTTGGCCGTTCTCCACCACGCAGCACTGCGCTTTCTCGGGGTCGAAGGACACCTCCTGGATGGGCAGGTTCTCATCCTCCTCCTCCGCCTCACCCTGAGGAGCACGGGAACGAACGGATACAACACCAGCTCTAGAAAGCACCACTGTAGATCTGCACAGTATTTACTGCGCATACACCAAGCATTCACGGCGCTTTCTATTTTTCTCAATGCTTGTATCATGCTTGGCCATGTCTCTTTACACTTCATTATGATTTCCATACGACATATGCACTGCACGCTGCATTTACCATAGTAAACTGGTGTACTTAAATTACCATGGTATACTTAATCTGAGATAGGACAATAACATCTCTTTGGCACAAGATAGCACAAGAACCTGACAGGTACGTAAAACCTTTTTTCCCCCCCAAAGATGGCAAGTAAGTGGTGTACGGTGTAACATACATTCCAACATATCGACCCCATCATTATTCAGCCATGAAAGAGAAACGGCAGTGATTAAACAAAGCCAGTCCCTTCGCGAAGCAGCAGATACCTGCAGTTTTAACTCCTGCTCCTTCTCCTTGACTTGAATGGTGTGCTTGGCTTCAGCGATGGGCGCCTCCCACATGCAGTCAGACAGCAGTGAGAACAAGCGCTCGACTACCTGGAAGGTAAAAACCTGCTCATCAGAATGCGGCCTCCGGATCTGCTTCAAACTCATATTTGATGATTTAATAAGGTTTTAATATCAATTACTTAGTATTTCAACGTTAAACATCTGCATTTCCTGGGCTACTAAAGGAGAAGCTGCAACCTTGCTGAACATTTTTTCAAATAATTGGCTTTAATAATGAAATAGCTTAACCACAACTTAACTCACAAGCCTGTAGATAGAACCTGGGAATGTGATATGCAGTAGAATGTCAGGATACATTAATTTCTTCATGATATTACTGAATACTATTTGATGCATAGAATATGGGAAATGGTTAAACACATTTGATAATGGGGACACTGCAGTTATCATTTCAAGAAAGACGTTTGAAATAAACCACCAACCTGGGTCATCTGATCGTCTTCAACACTGGCCTCACAAGCTGGCAACACTGCTTCTAACACATGAAGAGCGAGGAGTCTGGTTCTCAGGTTCCCAACCAGGGGGACACCTGATTAAGAACAAACATTTGGAGGATAACGTTTTGTGCATTAAACAACATTTTTTAGTCATGATATTCCCAATTAGCCCTGGAAGAAATGTTTTTGGTGACAATGAGAGCCTTCTTAAAAAGTGGGACCATAAGAAGGGAAAACAACACATGTATCGGGTAAAGGTCTATGCATTATGCTTAAACGTCTTGCGTTGTGAAACCTTTACCTACAGTGTTTCAGTGTCAATTCCTGTGACTTTTAACAAGGCACTCAAAAACTGAAATTTTAAAAATCTCTCCAGGCTGTTTGCCTGAGTCATCAGGAAACTGGTTGTGTCATGTCTTACATGATGAATGTTAAATGATTTGATCAACAAAAGAATAATCAGATATGGGGATAGTTTAGAACGTCCTGCTAATGGTTTCCGGTGTCTCTAAACAAACTACTGGACATGACTCAGCCCAGCACAGAACTTTTGCCAATTATATTGCAAGAAAAACGGTCAAATAAATTTGCAAGGGAGCAAGAACCAATAGTGTTTAGAAATGTATCAAGGAGAGTTAGTTACGCCTTATAACAGGCAAACCGAAAGGTACTTTGGAAATAGGTCCACGGTACAGAACTTCTTGCAAACTGTTTATATTCTTATTAAACCTCCATATACAGAAATGCACATCCCAAATCTAATAAAAATTAAAATCCTAAAAGGCAATGTTATGCTGTCATTAAATTTCTTGAAAGGCTGTCTCACCTGAACAGCATTTCTGAGCAGCAATGTTCAGTAGCACCTCTGTCCACTTTGGGGAGGCCATTTTCGACTGTATTGCTTTGGATGACACGACACGACGGAGAAACACCAGAAAGTCTCCAAGGTGCAGCTCTGCTGTATGTTGTGCACGCAGAAGAGCTGGGGGTGAACGCAAAATAATTAATCGCCCCAAATACATAGAACACAGGGAGTGAATGGCCTAAACTACATCATATTACAACCAGCAATTACTTATTTTTTCTCCATAACAAATGGTTACTATTTTCATTATAGTAGTCTGGGAAATTGGTTTGTTTGTTCTAACATTACTTATGTGTTTAACCAAATGTATGTGTAAACATTCACATTTTTCTTCTTACACTAAATCTTTCGGTCTTTTGTTAAAGAGTTGATCCGCCGAAGTTATGAAGATATGAAGGGAGATCACATCTGAAATACTGGCAATGGCAAAAAACCCTCTAACCAAAAACTTCCTGGATGTAAAATCACAAATGATTCAATTTTTAAACATTCTGCTCATACAATGACTTGAATGTTAAACCAGACTTGCTGATATACCATATTAGGATATTCAGATCTTCCTCTAGAATCCTGAGCTCATCTGATCGAGTCAATGTCTGATCCTCTTGGACAAAAACGGTCTTCCCCATTCACAATCCTACTGTTAGCAGATGGATTGCATATTTACATACCTTTTCAAATGCTGCAACAGAACAGTTCTTTAAAGAATGAATAAACAAATTACCCCTAAAATGTAAACAAAAGCAATTCATAGCTGCTGTATCCTTAGTTTTGTACCACAGAAAGCCACAATCCACCTATGTAAAGAGATGCAGGTGTGCAGACACTACCTCGAAAGTCTTTCTTCTCCGGGTCGACACTTTCCTCCGATTTGTTCTCTTCCTCCTCCCTGAAAGGTGGCAGTAGACTCACCCCAGCCTGGGAGAGCAAGTTCTTCAGCTGGCTACATAGGAGATCCAGGAGAGACTGCACCACCTTGGGACTGAGCTTATCAGCATAGGTCCTGGATGGAGGAGAACACATCATACAAGCTGGACGAATGGACAGCAACTACACCAATCCACATGGATCTACAACTGAACTGAACAAAAATAATTTCTCTTTCACTTAATTGGGGAGCATCTTAAACTTACTACTGCAAGTTTTTATTTCTGAGTCTCCCACTCATGTGGCATGCTTTCAAAAAACGTAAAGAAATTTTAATGAGCAAAAATGCTTGGAACTGTTGGGCATAAAAGTACTTTATATGCCTTTATATAACATGTATTGGGTATGGCCTCAGATTTACCCCATGTGGAGTACTCACCCTGTGGTAATGGCAAGGATCTGCAGGAGTCTAGTGCTGGCTACTTTGAGAGCTGTGCTGAGCTGCGACACTCCAGGCTTTTGCAGCAGCTGCAGGGGCTGTCCCAGCATGGTGTCGGTGCCACACAGCTGGGACAGCACATTAAGCAAGCCACTGGAAATGGCTAGAGATACATCTACGGGCTGATAGCGGACACTGAGAGCAAACACCGTCACCAACAGGAGGCGCTGCTGGGCTTCTGAAACAATTAATTGAAAAAGGTGTTTTCAGTCAGACATTTCGGATAGGTGCTTAGAAGGCTAAAGCATTGTGAATGGATACACAAGGGGAATTCAATCAAATTGCATTTTGATTAAAATAATAGCAGTATATAAGCCCTTCACATTTATGTTTGCATGACTGCATTTGATCAGATCCTGGAATGTATATCATTCCACCTTGCCAGTTTCCCAGGTAGCTCCTTACCAATATGGTGCTTGTTGGCTTGTAGGGCTCTCTCCAAAGTGGCAGACAGCTGCTGATAAATCTTGTGCACTGCAGTCTGGATGTCCACCTGAATGCTCCTTTTTGCAGCTCTGATACCATCCTGTGTTAACCACAGTAACAAGAAAGTACTTCATTTTCACTCTAATGAAGCACTACGGTCACAAACCTCAAGAAGAGCACAGAAAAGTCCCTTCTTCAGACAATAATATATAATTAAAATGCAAAACACACGAATAGGTTTGTAACACAGGTTTTTGTTAATTTGGGTCAAGTACCATCTAGGTAGGATATTCCCATTCTCTACATGATAGTGTGAGCTGTAAAACAAGACACCCCCTTAAGGAAGCCTGTTAGTAGAAATTACCTGGTAGTGATGGAGCTGGACACTCTCCTCCTTGATCCCCCCTGTCCCTACGGTTCCCAGGCTGAAGCAGCCAGCTAGGAACTGCAGTCTCACGGAGGTGAGCAGCGAGGAGGACTGGAAGGCTGGCCCCTGTCGCCCTACTCCCACTGCCTGGCTGCCTTTCTCCTCCATCCCCGACAGCAGGACCACAATCTGGTGCAGGGCCTCCAGGCGAAGCTGCGCCAGCAAGCACAGAGCCTCGTTTACTACGGGCACGTTTCTGTACATATGGGATCGTTTACTGCGTGCCTGCAACAGGGGCTCGTAAGGATGGTGTTTTTAAACATTATTCCTCTTATAGCTTCAATACCAGATGAGAAAATAAGTAGATTATTAAAGAATTTAAAAAGTACTTGTTAATAGCCCGTTCCTTTTAATTATTTTACTTGTTAACTCTTCTTCACGTGGAAGTGTAAGGCTGTGTATTTTTACAGCATGTAACACTTGAGTATTGGGATAAACATCACTCTCTTATGGCTTAACCACAAGAAGTAAAGCTTGTTTTGCTTCAGTTATTAATGGTTTTTCCACGACTAAAATTAAGCACCTCAGCTCTGCTCTGCTGCTGCTCCATTGCGATGATGGTGGCCTGTGGGCTGGTGGACATGCCCTCCTCGGGCTCTTTGAAGGCTGGAGCATTACCGACGTCTCCACTCACAAAGCTCACAATGTTGTCGATGAGGGCATGAACTCCCAGGGACTTGGTCAGGTCAAAGTCAGACTCCTCGTATGAATAGGGCGGGCTGTATATGCGATCGCGGCTGTGCTTTGCTCGAAACCACGAATCGGTCAAGGAGTCTGGAGAGCTGTGGAGCAGTCCTGAGGAAAGAAGAAAGACGCCTTGTTGGATAGCCACGAAACGAAGGACGTCTTTTGTCTCCCTCTCCTCTTTAAGGGGCTGGGGGGAGTCAAGACATCATGCAATAACTAAAACTGACTCCACCGGAATGCACTCACTGTCAAAAAATGTTTTCTTTCTCAGAACAAAATCAGAAAAATGCTGAAGTAGAAAACAAAATACTGAGCAGAAAGCAGACGTAGAGCTTAGGAGTACATGTGCTTCACAGGAAAAGCTGCTGGCTAGAGCTACAGGAAGAGCATTCCACATAACTAGACCACATTCGGCTACGGAGCCAAGAACCAGTTGGGTTGTCAGCTGTTGCACAAGCATTACAGTGTATCAGAGCAAACACTGCTTTCAGAGTAGCATCAGTATGCAAAGAATCATTCAGGAAATAAAGAGAAAGAAAAAAATCTAAAATAATGTCAACAAAATAGATGCACATGAATTTGAGCTTTGATTAATGAGCTACTGATTTTGTTTTTAAATTGTCCATCACAAAAGTTGTGTAGCCCTGATTTACTTTAATGCTCAGTTCCCAATGAACTATACATATTATTATAAAATACTGGACAACCGCAAGGAATGTTGTAAATTGTAAGTTTAGGATGTATGTCTAAAAAAGAGCTAACGTTTCAAAAAATAATCCAAGATAATCTCACCAGGCACATTTTTGTGGAATATTTCAAGAAATAACTAGTTTCAGCCCCTAAGAGATCAACTGCCTTAAAGCTTTGTGAGAAAAAAACATTTTTCTCTTACGTGAATACACAAACATCAAAACAGTGCACAGTAATGCAAGGAATACAAACTGGGTCACAAGAAAAAGGACTACAATTGTAATTACAGCTACATTGCCATTATGTTTGAAAATAAGTCATAAACTCTACTCTAAAACTTAATATACAGTATCTACTCTCATTTGGTGGATGCTGCACATAGGTGGTGGTGTTGGAGGGGATCCCCATTACCTGTAAAGCGCTATGAGTGGAGTGTCCAGTAAAGCACTATAAGTGTAAGCAATTATTAATTATTTGTCACTGTATGACATCTTTCAAAAGTAAACCTGTTCATCCGTGCCACAAAAACATGAAATAGTATTTTTGAAGATCCAAGTCCATATCTAAACATTTTAGTTTTTTGTTAATCATGCAGTTGCAAATGAACCCTCACATCCACCCTTTACAATATACTCTACTGCCCTCCGGAAGAAGGTACTAGATCCCCTGTATTAGAGAGCATTTACTTCATTTAAATTGAAAAGCATTTTTAATCTTATGATACTGGATTTAGTTCTGACAGAGCAATTTGTTAAATGTTATTTTGTATCATGGCAATGTACTGTTGCTGTATTGTATTACTGTCATAAAAGTTATGAACTCTTGATGTGTAATACAAATTTCCTTAGGAGCTGAAAAGTTTAACTCCATTTTAATTCATTCAATTAGGTGTAGAAATGAATACTTCTGTCATTATGTGAAAGCCCATTAGACTTTCCCTGCTCTTCAAACTAAAAGTTGTGACTAAGAAGTTCATTATAAATCTTGGCTGAGTTACAAGATGATGAGGTCTATGGTTTCCGTATTCACAGCTGCAGCGATCTTCATTTCTGAAGAGGCCGAAGAGGTGAAGGAAGACCAGTGTTACAGAGTCTGGCAAATGATTTTAAAATCCTCTTTACAGCAAAGATTTGAAAAATGGTAATAACAGCTAGCCCAGAGGAAGGTCCTGATTAATTAGTACACCTGGAAAGGGCTGGAGAGGATAAGATTGGGAATTGAGCATTGTTAACTGCAATAAAATAAATGTGAAAAGCCATTCACACTTTATTATTGAGCTTGAAGTAATTGTGTTGAAAATAATGACAGTGCTGGAGCTGCAATACATTAATGAGTATTTTAAGCTAGCTTTAGGAAAAAGAAGGTTAAACATGCCATCATGTACTTGCTTGAAGCTCTTCTTGTTTCTGGGGCTCAAGTGGCCAAAAAGGAGTAAATACACTACCACACAAGAATCAGAAGACAAAAGGAGACATTTCATACAGCAGACAGCAATCGAGTCATACTGTTTTTGAAATTCAAAACAAGGATTCAGGCAGAGCATTCTTAATCATGCATTTGGACACACAGACTCCTAAAGAGAGCAGTTTTTCTGTTTTTTTTCCTCCATTGTGCTTTGGTTCTGAAAACTATATACAGTGAATTAGACTTCACTTATGTTGTAAAAAAAATAAAACACAGAATTCCTAAGAATAAATAGAGGGTCTTCACTCACTTTATTAAGAAAGTTATCTATGCAGTCGCGTTAGTAATAATTTAAAAATGTTGCCTATCAATTAGGGTCAACCTCGGGTGCAATGATACTTCAGTCTTAGGAGAGAGATTTCTACGGAAAAGGTAAAGGAACTGATAATCAGACAAACAATATGAATTTCACATGAAGCCAGATGACGTATGTCAATTCTTTTTATTAAGAACAACAGTGTGGCAACAGAATTGCCAATAAAGTAATAACATATTTGTGGAAATAAACATGCGAGTTAAACTCACCCCTCTTCTTGTGGGAGGAAGCCAGGTCTAAGTCAACATTTCTGCGTCCACTCTAAAAAAGATGGAAACTTAGTTTTCCTAATGTTAAGCTCATTCTATTACTTCATATTTCTATTTTGGTCTAAAATGGGCTGTCAAATCATGTGCTTTGATTCACTAACGTACTTGTAACATAAATTGAACTTGTAACAAGCAAGTTGCATAAAGAAATTGAAATAGTTGAAATGGAAAATAACCCCAGCGTTTCATATGACCAAATGACTCACCAGACTATAGCCTTCTTCATCAGATTCTGGCTGGGACAGATCAGATTCGCTTCTTGATTTGATCAGCCTGTAGCTTGGACTGACCTGAACAGATCTGCTTTCAGCTGTCAGACTCTCACTCCTACAAAAAAAAAACAAAAGAGCTAAAATTATATTCATTCTCATTTTCATATAGAAAATATTGAGCAAGCTAAACCTTCAATCTGGTTTACTGCCCCAAAATGAAGGCCAATGGACAAATTACGATCTGGGGGACCCATGCAAGTAGATTAATAATGAAAGCTTTAGTAATACATGTAATAGATGTAATAAACTAACATGCACTTCAACACTCATCTTCTACCCGAATACATCATTAAAATCACACCCAGGCAAAACAAAAGTTAGTACAAAATCAGGGAAAAAAAAACAGTACATTCCATAACTGCAAAAAATAATAACTTGATTCTTGCACCAGACAAGAAGACCTTACCTGGTCATGAAGCCGATGCCCTCGGAGGTGGGCCCGCTGGCCTGCTGCATGGGCCCGCCCTCGTCCTGCTGCTTGTGCAGCACGGGGCTGGCCCCCAGAACGAGCAGGGCACAGCGGTGGATGACAGAATTGCAGGCGGCGGTGTAGAGGTCCTGTCCCTCCGGGAGGCCTGTGCTGACCCTCCTGTCCTCCTGGGACTGGGAGGGCACCTCCTCGCCGCGGGTCCCCGACCCGCTGCCCACCCCAGCACTGCTGCTGGAGCGCTCCCTGTCCCGGCTGCGGGCAACGTCTCGGGCTGATAGGAAACATTGAAAGATTTCTGTAACATGCAACACAAAGACAAACGGCTGGTTAGAAAAGCCAGTGCACAGCAGCAGCATGTCTCCAGTTAATGTATTTAACACGACAGCCACAGAAAAGGAAAAAAAAATAGCACACTGTAAGGACACTCTTTCTCACCTGAATGTGGGGTTAAGAACTGTGACATGAACCATGCATGGTTTGAAATTTTAATTTGTGAATTACAGTGAAGAATCCTACTGGGGCTAAGAATGCATTCCTTGAGGAGTTAACAATGTAGCTTAAATAGTAACAGGTGCCCCATCTTTAATTTTCTCTGTTCATCCAAACAACAGCAAACTACATTTTTACCTCCATCCCTCCTCTCAAGATTGTATTCCAGCCTGCAGTAAGAGAACATCAGTGTCCTAGTGCTGCGCGTGCAACCAGGGCTGCAATCGATACCAATTACATTCCAGATTCTTTAAACTGGGATTCTGATTCTCCCAGCCACGAACAGATTCTATTAAGTTTTAATATAAAATATAGGGAAGTATGCTAAGCAGGAAAAGAACAGACGCTCTGCAAGGCCAGCTGCACAGACGCTCTGCAAGGCCAGCTGCACAGACGCTCTGCCGCCCGGCCGCCCGGCTCTACTCACTCCCAGCTGTCATGACCTCATGCTCCCTCTCATCCTCGTCCTCATCCTGCTCCTGGTGGCCTTCCTCGCGCTCGCGGTCCGCCCGTTCCTCCAGCTCTGCCTCCTCATCGATGGTGCGGGTGAAGGCGTGCTCCTGGGGGTCGATCTCCAGGGAGTCGTGATTATCTGAAATCTTAACAGCCAGTGCAGGGGGTCGGTGTCAATCACAGGGGGGTACAAGTCAATACACTGGGCTTGTCCTCAGTTGAGCTTCTCTTTTTATTACCTAAACCCAAAAAAGTGCTGTGGGATTTGTATTTTTATTCTAGTCTGTTCCTTCTATTACACAAGATAAGACTGAGTCTTCGACATTTTAACTGCCTATGCAGTTAATTAAATGCATCACTGTAGGTGTAATCTTATTTTCCCTATACCGTATATTTGAACCCTTTCAGGGTGGCATGGTGGCACAGCGGTAGGCATTGGTGACCGAATGTGCTTGAATGTTCTCCCTGTGCTCGCGTGGGCTTCCTCCCACAGTCCAAAACCATACTGGTAGGTCAACTGGCTTCAGGGGAAAGTACTGCTCTGAGGTATAAGAAATAAGGGCTGCTGGAAAACACGTTTAGTTCTGTTCATTAACTAACTTGCCTGAGCGTTTAACAGAGAGGGGGGGAAAAAAAACAATTAATTAGTTTCCGTAAAGGTTTCCACACTCAACACAGAGCAATTTAACAACTTCATGACCATACCCGCCTTTCCCTGGAGGATGACCTGGTCTGAATGAGCTCCATGTTCTTACAAGCCAGTAAGCGGTTCCGGACTTTGTAAACACTGCGGTAAACTTCCGACAGGTTCTTGCATGGTTGATACCTTTGGTATGGAAAAAAAAACTTTCAATTCACATTGCAACGTTAAGCATGCACACAGGTAATTATGATATGAAACATTAAAACATACATTAAAAGGAAGGGTATAAAAATTATCTTTCATTCTATTTTTTTAGCATGCTCATATTACCAGACCAATGATGTTTCAAGGGGTTAACTGAGTGTATATTCCGGTTATTTTAAGAAACAAAAACTCCCTTTTACCTTTACTGCTTCAAATTAAAAGTCCATGAAAAGTTCTGCAGTATATCAAAACACATAAGACATCAGAAGCTGCTTCTTTCACACATCAATTTCCAAGTATCCAAAAATGTCTGTATCCAAAACATAACACTTACAGCACTGGGTTAATCTTAAAAACATTGAATTCCTGCATTCCTTTACCTTCCCTCTCCACATGCCTGGTTCAGCAGCCCAGTGTGCTTCAGTAAAGCAGCCAGAACAAATCGTGAGACAGTATCCAGAAGCGCCTCATTACTAAGAGTTGCGTTGTCCCAGTCTACAAAAAAATCAATGCGCCATATAATAAAATCGGCATTTCCAATTTAAAATATTTGTGGGCATTACTGTGATTATTCAAAACACCACACAAGATGGCCTTTATATGGATAATTTAAAAACATTTATACTCAAACTAATTTAAGAATTTGAGATCATCATTCAGGTTCTTTATTCTCCATACAATAAACATGTACAATTTAAGACACAGAACAAACAACTGCACCAACACAGAAAGAAAAGACAAATGAATCCAATCTTTAAGAATACCTTGCTGTGATTACTAATACACTTACTAAATAACCTCAACAACACAGAACTAACAGAATCTAACACACATCACTAAAATGTTACCTTTGCTGATTGCATAGTCCTGCATATTGATCCACAGGCTGTTGGTTGGTTCTTTGGTAGATCCCAAGGCCAAGTCAACAAGCACTGCCAATTCAGGGCGGAGGGTCCATTCAAAGGGTTTCTGCTCTTCATTCCCAGACAGGGCCACTTCCAGCAAGGAACTGATGCATTTATCTGACCAAACATACAGCACCAACAAATCCATGAAAACAACTCTGCTGCGTTCCCAAAACAATCAGATCTAAAATATAAATGATGTTTAAAAAGTTGGGAGTTATGTAAAATTGGAAAAGTAGTACATTTCAGCCCAATTTAAAATTGAAATGTTTTCCGTTGCGTTGTCTGCTTTCTGTGAACGAAAAATACATTCCTTCAAAATGATTTTCAGAACAAATGCCTAGATCCAAACCTCCCGAGTGGCAATGATAAGAGTGTAAACCAAAACTTTTATATTAAAACAATAAAGTGTCCCACTTTAATGAATGCAAACACGAGACTCTTAAAATTCCCTTCCAAGTCCCCTTGTAATTTAAAATCTTCTCATAACGGCTCTGCTCCTCAAACAGTAAGACAGCATAGTTACCCAGCTGCGGGATGCCCATTTCCAGGCCGTTGCTGAACAGTGGCGTTTTGAGCCAGTAGCCCGTGTCCTGCTCTTCAAGGGAAGCAGGGGGGCCCTGCAGCATGCCCCCCAGACAGCGGCCCACCAGCAGGGCGGCAGTCCTCTCCAGGTCGACCAGCCACACCCAGGACTGGGCTGGCTGGGGCAGGGGGGCTCCGGCTGGGTCCACGAAGTCAGGTGTCCCTGGAAAACAGGTTCACAAAAAATTAAAACTGACAAACTAGTTCAGAAATTCTTCATACTGCATCTTTTGACTGCTTGTACTAAAATGTACGGTAGAAATTCTTTTGTCACTTCTTACTGGTGCAGAATAGACAAAGACTAAACGGATATACTGATCCAACCTGCAAACCCCGTGCTTCATACTTTTAACTGGTTAGAATACTTTTAAACCTTTTAACTGGGTTAAAAGATAAAGCCTCTGGCAGACAACAAGAACTGTACTCAGAATTTACGACTGTCGCGTTGGCCAAAGCTTTGAATTATTCCGAGCGGCAAATTACAAATAACGCTTCAAAGACAGTTTGTTAGAAACATATTTAGCCAATAAAAACATTAAAAACAACCTTAAGTTTTCCCACATTAAAACAGTCTAGGACTAGGCCCTAATGCTATTTACACACATTTACATTCATTAAAGTCAGTGGAAGGCGGTATGTTTTCTTTTAATTCTCATCAGATCATGACAGGTCTGAGTGCCACGCCTCTGAAGAAGACGCGGATTCCTAGTCTAGCCGAAAGAACACACACCACTGTCTTAGTGACAACACACACACCATGGAGAGGCCACTGCAGCTCCTGGTCCTCCAGCAGGGTGGCAGCTGGCAGCAATCTGTTCAGGCAATCAAGAGGCGGGAGCAAGTCCAGCAGATAGCTCAATAATGGTCGTGCCACCGACACAGGCAGGAGCAAGAGGGAGTTAATGATCTGACACAGCATACTGCCGGCTGCTGAGACATAGATCACATCTGCAATAGCCCAGAAAAAAGGTACTATTAAACAGGAGCCGTCTGTGAACAAACCACTGGTTACACAGTGTCCAGTTACACAGATTTTGGAATAAACTCGCCCGACAGTACTTTCCAGTAGTAAAAACTAAGACAAGTGCTAATTCTACTCAGAAATGTCATTATATTAACACCTTAACCCTTTCAAAACTGAACACAAACTATACCATGAGGCAGATACACATGAAGATGAAACTGCAGCTATGTCCTGTATTTAAAGTAATATCAAGAAGGTTACAAGTGTATTATTGATGGTGACAAGGTATTAGTGAACTGCAGGTTTATCTCCTTAATGATAATCTGTCAAATTACAACTGCATATATTTTAGATTTTAACATATCTATGTAATTAACAGTGCATAATTAGTTTAGGAACATGGATGAGAAATCGGTTACATTTCTGTGTAATTCATTACAGAAAACAGCGTTATATTAATTAGTCAGACCTGTTGCATCAATGTAGCATTGTTGACATAACTGGACAGACTAAGGCAGCATGCATGAAACTGGGTAGAATACCTCTCAGCTTTTCCCTGACACTCCCATTCCAGGAGCTCTCCTTCAAAAGCGTGGCAGATCGGGAGAAAGTATCGGTTGCATGAGGCAGCAGAAGCTGCAAGTGTTTATGCAACAAAGCTACACTGCTGGAATTCTGTAAACGATGAAAGAAAAATATAAATAAAGGGGATTATTTAAAAATCAGCTTTAGATCTTTATTGATTGATTTCGATCTTTAATGCATAATACTACTACAACTGCCGATCTAACAGCAATTTAAAACAGGATGATGAAAACCAAACCACTCGAAAACCTAATATGAGCAAATCAAACAAACTCATGCAGACTTGATTTAGGGATGCAAATATGATCATTCACAAAGGTGTTGTTAACTTACTCCTGCACATAGGTAATTACTGTAACATTAGTGAATGGCAATTAGAATCAGGTACTGGATCTACCAGACTCACAATCGATTTCCCTTCTCCTCTCACCTCGGTGACACTGTTGATGTGGCAATATGCCAGTAGCTGTTTCTGTAAGGAACACAGCAGCTCATGAAGATGTGCAGGCTGACTGCTGTCTGAAGAGGAGGTACCCTGGAGCAATTTGTCACTGTTTTTCTCCAGCTCACCAAAGGCCTGATCCTAACGCAAGAAAATGTTACAAAGTAAAAAAGGTTAAAGCCTTAATTAAGAGTGGAAGACAAGGGTTATCGAGTCAAACAAATCACAGAAACATGGTTTTGCCTATTAATATCATTTTAGTTTTGGGGGAAAATAGAACCACATTCTATCACAAAACATGTCTGCTGCAAAATGAACTGCAGTTGCATCCACGCATATGTTTCTAGGCATGAAAGTCTATGCATAATAACATCCAGTAACAAAAAATGTCTGTAACAAATCTTCAACGGAAGAAACTAACACAGCTGGAAAGCAGCATGACTTGTGTGAGCATTTGCTTTCAAAAGCAGCTATTATCCCTGTTCAGGAGATGGCATACTAAGCTGATATATAGAAATCCACTTACGGTGTAGAAGCCCAAGTTTCTCAGCAGTGTTTTCATGAGGATTTCTGCTAAGTGGGTATCTGGATGGCTGCCTGGCGAGCTGTAGGAGGGATCTAAAGGGGTTCCAAATCCCTGGCAAGAAGAGAGGGCTTCAGGGGCATCAGGGGGCGAGCTGTATCCCAACAATGAGGCCACATGCGTGTGATCCTGCAAGCTTGTTAAAATGATATCCAACTGCATCCGCTGAAGAAACACAGTGGGACATGTAGCAAAACATTAGAGAAGTTTCATAAGGTGCTATAAAATGAAGCAGAAAAAAAAGACTTCTTTACTGTAACACTCTTGCAAAGCAACTGCTTAAAATAGCAAAAAAAAAAGGTATCTGAGGGAAAAAAGTTCCTAAAAAATATTGTTTCAGCATTAAAAAGTATCACTTTGTAACACAGGTCCTGTATCAGAGTATCTGCTACTCTGATACTAAGATCAAGGAAATAACCTTGTCTGTTTTTATGCCTAAATGCATATTACAAAGAGCAAATAATACCATGTTTTTCTTCATTAATGACAAACCTAAAAAACATTTTACCTCATGGAAAAACCCATATGTAACCAACAAAGATCAATGTTGTAATCAACTAATTTGCTAAGTAGTTTTAAGATACACTGGCCAAACAAAGGACTCAATACTATAAAGGATTCTACTACAAGGCAGTGCATTATGAATGAGTGCTTTTCATTCATTTCATTCAAATAAAGGACGCATTTCTAGTCTCTTCCAACAGTGTCCTGGCAACTGCCACGCAGTGTTTTTGCAAAAAAAAGAGCAGTAGGCAACAAATAAGAAAAAAAAAACATGTGCCTAAAGCCAAAATAGACCTCTTCAATATGAAGAGTAAATTTTGCTATCGCAGATTTACCTACAGGTTAATAATCCTTGAAAGAAAAAAACAAGCTGTGAGCCTTTATACAGAACGGAGCACACTAATCAACAATTACCAAGCCATAATGAAAAATCTGATTCACCCGTATCCATAAAACTCAAGACTGAAGCCTTTTTGAGACCAATTACTTCTACACTAACCTCTCTTACACTCCATCATTACCAGCGTCTATCTCAATGTAACCACGATCGAGCGTCGTACCTGCCCTTTAGACAAGCTCTCCCATCTGTCAGGACCCTGCGGCAGAAGAGAGTGGAGCAGCTCCATCCTCTCTCGCAGGGGAGGCAGCAACATCGTTGCCCCCACTGAGAGCGTTTCTATGACAGCCTGCGAAGAAAAGCAAGTAACACCATAAAAATAAGTCTTTTTGAAGAAATGACGGCATTCCTGGCTAAAAAAAAAAAAGTCTGAACTGAGTTGAAAGAAAAACCTTAAAACAGTAAAACTGCAAATTCATGAGTTATGGAACATAAACGAATGGCTAAAAACAGCACTCCTCCTCTTCAGTGTGATAACTAAGTTATTCCATTCTCCAACTTGCAGTAAACCCAACTTGACTGGACAGGAGACATCCCTTATGAGATATATATATAAAACGAAATCTAAAACTTTCAAGCATTTGATGACAAAATAATAAGGGTATGTATTCCTTTATCAGCTACAAAACTATTTGTGTAACTATCCCTTTCTTCAGAAAACCACAGATTTTTTTTCATTTTAAGCTTTAGTGTCAGAAGTTTGTTTACTCATTTATACAAAATTGGAAAATTGGCTCAATTTGGCGTTGAAGCCTGGGCTCCTTCGAGAATAGACTGGATGAGATATGGAAGGCAATCAGCTTCTAGCAACCAAAGGAACACAGCTCACTGTGCCTTTACTATGTTACCGAGTTTGGCAAAAACACGGTATGGTTTTTCCCATACCACATATGAATACCATATATGAACACGGTATCATTAGCCGGCAGTAAAATAAGCACGAAACAAAAAAAATAACAGCAATACTGCCTAACTCAGTGGTTCTCAAACTGTGGTACGCGTACCGGCAGTGGTACGTGGAGTGCCGCCAGGTGGTACGCCAAATGACCCTGGAACTGTGTCGTGTGCGCTGAAAAATCGGGACAGGTTTTCATATTTTGTATTTTAATGTGTCGAATACGCAGCCTACGTACTATGATACAGTGCGCGTTAATACTTCAGTGGACACAAGAGATACTCTGTAATTCTATACCACTCTATAGGGAATGCGTGCTATGGATGCAAGTGACCAATTGTATTTAAAAAAAAAGCTACTGTATCTCCAGCACATAGGGAGAAAGGAGAATGTGCGTGATTTTGGAACAATGCCAACGTTCTAAACACAGGAATGCATAGAAATGCGTGCTACGAACGCAGGTAATCTTGTGAGCACACGAAAGCTTGATAACAGAAAAATATTTAAGAACTGTTCTAATTTGAGAAAAATACACAGAGCGTCTCTGTGTTGCGCTCCCATGCGCATGAAATAAAAACTTTAAATAAATACGGAAATGAGGAAAAATGCAAGCTTGCATATTACTAAAGCAGGTAAGCTACACTATTTTTGAAGAACCTTATTTACCGTTGGCAAAAGAGCTGACACGTATTATGTGTAGAGAAAAAGCTGCTAAACAGCTCGACCTGCTGCCCCCCTCCCCCTGAAAGACAGTCATTCATAGAATTATTGAAATGAAGGATTATATCAAAAGTACACTGATAGAGCGCGTTAAGATGAGCAGATGTTTTTCACTGCAATTAGATGAGTCTTTAGTCAATTTGGCCAATTTGCTCGTTTACGTTAGATACGAATTTGAGGGCATGTCCCATGAAGACTTTCTGTTCTGTAAACCGCTACCAACAGGAACTACTGGAGAGCACATATTTCAGCTTCTGAATGAATTTATCGAAGAGAACGGCCTCGACTGGATAAAATGCGTCTGAGTTTGTACAGACGGTGCTAGAGCAATGACAAGCTGACATAACGGTGTAGTTGCACGAATTAGAGAGGTTGCTCCAGAAATTAATATACGCATTGCAACATTCACCGCGAGAGCTTTGCCATCAAGAAAATGCCTGACGATTTAAAATCTGTTAGACTGTTGTGAATTGTATCAAGGCTCGAAAAATTAATTCACATCTGCTTTGCTCAACTAAACAGGCTCACCTCTCTCACTGAAATGGTGCTTTTTTATTAGTTGTTGTTAATGTTTTTTTTTCCCGTAAAACACTTTGAGAAGCCACCTTCAAAGGTGCTATATCAAATAAAGTTTATTATTATAATATTTATTATATGTATGTGTGAGTGTGTGTGCATGCGCGCTCATGTTGGTCATTGAGAATTTCTGGGGTTCCTATGAGATGATGACTTGTAGGTGGTACTTGGATGCTTTGGTTGGATTAGGGGTGGTACTTGTCCAAAAAGTTTGAGAACCACTGGCCTAACTTATTCATTAACACATGGAGCATTTTATGAGCTTCAGGAATCAATGCACGTCCTCCGCACCTCCTGGATTTCATCAGGCACAGACGAATCCATCAGTCTGAAGAGCAGGTTTCTCAGGGGTCTGGCTTGTCGGCCGAGAATACTCGTGGCCACCCCTCCAGCAAGAGCAAGGGCAAGGTGGTTGGATAGGAGCTTGAGACACAGTTTTAGAAAGCTATGATGCTCCCTGCAAAAAATAAGATTTAATCGACCACAGTTGAACACAATGCATCCCCGAAATGGTGTTCAGAACACAATTTTATAGCAATTAAAAGTAACAAGTATTACAGTTAACCATGCCATAAAAATTGCTTTGGTCTATTTCAACAGGCTATTAAAACTTGAGAATCCAATAAATTCACAATGTAATTATCCATTAAATGTCAATCTGCAAAGTCACAGCACTCCTCAACTCCTCAATGAACCTTCACGTCCTTCAAATGCAGGAAATTATTTATTTATGGGCAGATTATAAGACATAGAAAAGGACTGCAGACAGACTGCATGGCAGATCCTAAGGAGCGGGCCTTACCTTGATGAGGGAAAGGGAAGAGGTGGAACTTCACTGTTGATGCCATCACAGTATCGTTCGAGAAAGGAGCGCAGGTGTGAGAAAGTGCTTTCTTCTAAATCAACACAGTAGGGCCGGTGCCAAGCAACTACTTGCCTTTAAGGGAAAACAGAGAAGAGCATAGGAAAGCTGGCTCACTCTCACGAAGCGCCAGTATGGTTCTTCAATAAAGCAGCAAGAGTAAAACAATCAGCCACGCACATTTTATCTCTACAGTCTTTCAATTTAATACTATTAGGAAAATATTTTAATGTACTTAATTTTTAATGTTACTAACCTGTCCCTGGGCAAAGCTGTCCAAGCTAAACTGTGTGAGGTGCCTGCGGATATTTGCTGAATTGCCACACCATCCAAACCAATGACCTTCTTGGGCTTGGTTATAGGTCCAGTAGAGTTTCCTTGACCACACTGCCCCATTGAGTTGTTACCCCAGGCATAGACCTCGTTATCTACAATTGCACAAGAAAAAGAGTTAGGATTCGCAGATGAAATGTAAACAGTAGAGGAGCACTACAAACAGAAACAGTGAATGGAACAGCCTATATACACATACCCTCTGCATTACACTAACATTTGCAGTGAAAACCTCTCTATTTAACCCGTGAGCATTGAGTAAAACCACTTTTCAAAATTAACCTACCGGGAACATGAACGTCAAGTAAATGACCTAAGGATATGACTGGTCCCTGGAGCAATGCTGATTGGTCTCTATGTCGGTTTGCAGATCAGGGACTGAGAAACCATGACTCCAGTTTCTTGTAATAATGTTCACCCATGGTGCTGAGTAATACACATTTATTATGCATTTCATAGTTTAGGAATGAAAAGAGATTTTTTCTGCTGAAGGTCATACCATGTGATAAGGCCAGGCAGTGACTGTCTCCTATTGAAATGTCCACCACTCTTGTTGTGGCCAGTTCTTCAACCAGCTTTGGTCTTAGTGCAGTAGCTTCTGAAGATCCACAGCCTAAGCAGGCTCCACAGCCCCATGCATAGACCTAAAATCAACATGTTTTCATTGAATGTAAGCATTGAGCATAATAACGATCTTCTGAAGAACAGCCTATAACACACTCAAGATACAAGCTTACAATCATTTCCTGTTTCAAGCAACATTTTAAAATAGGAAGGTTAAAACTAAAAATAAATCTCAGAAGAGTATTTTAGAACTATACTGACTTATGTGACATTCTGTAACACAAAGGATTTATAAACTATTATACCATGTGGCTGATGAAAGGAATGAACTGCAAAACAAAAAAACAGCTGGTTTCCACAACTTTAAATTACAGATGATGCAACAAAATGGGTTTCATAATGCCTAAAAATATTAATATTTTATGCTGAAACTATTTGCAGATTGACTTGGGGATTTCTAAAAGGCAATTCCGACACTATGGTGACTATTTTGTTTAATCGTGACTATTAATACTAATCAAAATGAAAGGCAATCAATGCAACATCCATCAAAATACTTTATTTCAATTTCCACACCAAACAAGCATTCAGACTTGATATAACAACTGACGTAACCGTGGGCTACAATCCTGTAGACTGGATTTCGCCGGGTTTGAGATGTTTATCTTATACTGTACATGAATTTACAACAAGCAAGATGACATCATCTGCTCCAAGCAAAGCGTACCTGTCCTGTTGAAGTCAGGGCAAGTGAAGACTGGCTTCCTGCGCAGACTTTCCGAATAAACATGCCTTGTAAGGCCTCAGTAACTTTGGGCTTGTATACTCTGTTCGTATCACCGTGTCCAAGCTTTCCTACAAGCAGAAAAAGAAATTATAATGTGAATCTGGACTTATAACACACTTTCTTTACACCCATTTCTTTTCAACCAAACATTTTAGCAAAGATATTCTGCTGTTCGTGGCTAGATCTCAAAGATTTCAGTGACATTTTTAGATGGCCCTATTGCCAGGCCTTTTTCACAAAAGCACTAAGCAAGAAGCATCTAGAACTGGACGTTTTGCACCAGAACTGTTGAAAAGCAACTAAAGCCTGCAGTAAAACTCTGTTTAAATTAAATGCAAGTAAAATATATTGGTTTGGTGCCAAATTCCTTCTCACAGGCTCAAGATAATGTTGAACTCTGCTCACCGTTATCTCCACCTCCAAATGACCAAACTGTCCTCCCATCTTTTGACAAGGCTATGGTGTGGGAGCTGCCACAAGACACCTCCCCCACATTGCTAATGTCTTTCACCAGAGTTGGGATGTTTCGGCTGTTGCTGTCACCATGACCTACATACGAATACAGAGAGAAAACAAAAAAAATCCAGATGCAAGTTAAGACACATCAGCTTTTAAAGTATCTGTCATTCATTCCGCATTTGGAAATCACACTTTGCACACTGTAATCTCATTTTGTTGCAAAGGTCTGCAAACTGATAAGTGAACACAATTGCCTTATTAAAACATCACCGAAGGTGAAAGGTCACTCTGGGTATATTTTATAATGCAAAGATAAATTCAATGTTACTGAATATCAATCAAAAATGGAAGTTATGGAAAAATATTTTTCATGAAATGCAGATTACCAAGTCTTCCAAAGTCCCCTTCTCCCCAGGTGTAGAGCTCTCCATCTTCACTGACGGCTGCACTGTGCCTGTAGCCAGCAGACACGCACACAACCACCTGTCCAACACAGCAAACCGTTCATCACCTTTGCATTTCAGATTTTGACTTTGTACCCTTGAGAATTGCACATTGTTACCTGTTGAATTGTACATAGCCACAGTGAAAATCATTGCAATTTTGAGATTCAGAAGCCAAGGATAGCTGTTCTTTTGTAATGAAGAACATAGCAGGTGAATGTCTTCACTTAACGTTTTATTTTTTCTTATTATAATGTATCATGCACATGATAATAAGCGGTGATTACATCTTGCTTTTAGAAAGATACAGTAAGTGCATTGACAAGTTTTAACTGACAAGTAAAAAAATATTTTAGCAGGATGAGTACTACTAAATGAGATGATAAATTCCTGGCTCTCACTGAGTCACAGCATTACTTAAATTGGACCCCCGGGATGAATAAAGTATACTGAATAAAAAGAAAACAACTGAATTTAATATAGTGCAAATGTTGTATAAGGACAATTCAACACCATAAAAGATGGATTTCAGTACATGTTCATAAAACCTAATTTAATACTGCAACCAATGTGATATGCACTGCCAGTTGTGTACTGTATAGAACACAGGTGACTTCTATCAAGTCCCAATTTACACACCTTTCCTTGCAAAGGGCCTTGGATAAGTTTGGGGTATTTCTGTGTGGAACTGTTCCCATGTCCCAGTTTTCCATAGTCCCCATCTCCCCAGCTGAAGACCTCTCCTTCAGTGGTGAAAGCCAGCGTGTGCCCATCAGAGCCCTTGGAGGACGACACCTTCTTGATCGCTCGGTGAGGTTCAAAGGTCAGCTTCTTCAGAGTGGACTGGTTGTTGGAGTCTCCCAGCCCCAGTCTCCCATAGCTTCCTTTTCCACACGCTCTCACTGACCCATCCGAAGAAATGACAAACGTGCAGTACTGCCCGGCTTCAATCTAACAGGCAAAACATCCAGAGGGTGGGCACAGTTAACACGCCAGACAGGTAAACAACGCAGTCAGGGACTGGAAATGCTCAGTGGATTTAACCTGATGTATGAAGGAATTCTCCAAAAAGCTATATATAGCTGAGTCTCTCTTACATATTTGCTTTTAATTTTCTCATTCCCTTTGGCCATTCTATTCATACTACCTACTGCAGTTAGCTCTTCAAGTGAAACTAGGTTACTAATCAAAGACATTAATATGCATTCAATCCTTTTTTCCAGCAGTATCTGCCAGAGAGAGAAAAATCTAAACAAATGTCTTGAACCTTGCAACAAAAACACAGCATGTAACTACAGCACCTTTTCAGTATACCTCTCATTAACATGCAAAGCATCACTCACTAGCAACATCTCCAGAAATATATACACCATTAACAAAACAGCTAGCCTTCAGATACTGCCTAAACTATGAATGCACAGTAATGAAAAATTACTATAAACAGATGAATGATTACACATCACAAACAGTTAATTTCAGTATCCAGCTGTCTCTACAACCTGGTAAAATAGGTATATTCTCACTTTGAGCACTGTAGAGAGGACATTTTTTTTAATTCACTAAATTCAGTCACCTATGCAAAAGTTATTTATATAATTATGTGTGACATTCCATATTTTTCACAATCTGTTTATTATGAACCGGAAGTAATTACTTACCGTCTGTGCATCTGCAAAACTCGGTGCCAGTTTGGGCTGCAAAATTTTCTCCTGAGTGCCTTCCACCAGCTGATGGCTGCTGTTGCTGCCCCAGACGTAAACCTCGCAGGTTTCGGACACAATAGGCGCCTCTCCTGTCTGGATGCTGTCTGGACTTGCGCAGGTTCTGGAGTAGTCAGATGCCATTCTGCAGACCTGATCCCAAACCCCCATTAAAGAAATGTAACACATTTGACCGTAGAAAAAACAAAAGACTAATAACAACATTTTTATAACCGGACCAAACTCTGTTCACAAATTCACAAACACATACCACGACTACAACCAATTATACCAACACAGCAGAACTACAAATCAGGATAGTTTAGGATAAATACATTTTCCTCACTGGACCAAAATGACAGAACAAAAAGAGATGCGACTCTTCCATACCACTCTCCAAACATCTGTGCAAGAGTCCCCAGAGTTTCATTCTGATTGTAAAAGGCTTTTTCAAACAGCAAATCACCGAAGATAACCTCCAACAGTTAGTATATGTCAGCATCAGGTCACTTACCTCCTCGAAAAGACACAGCGCTGCCTCATATAAGGAGCACAGCCCATCAGGTGTTCGAGTTGGCTCCCTCCATTGACTTCGGTCTGCTGAGGAACCCTGCCATGACACCAAAGCAATCCATAATTTTCAGCAGAGCAAAAACCGTATCTCACACGATAAGCCACACCATGGGCACAATGTGTGCGAAGGGTGGTTTTAGCTCTGTTCCCCTGATCTGTAATTTAAGGGATGAGAGTGTGGCACTGACAGCACGATTAAGCAAGCATAATTTTATGTGACTTACTCCCCTATCCCTTCCTGCTGTAGTTCAGATCTGGGCATTAGTTATCACGTTTAATAATTACAAGAGAAGTGCAGTCATAGGAGTTCAGCTGTAGACCTCAGCATCACTATAACAATTTTTTAGAGGTGCTTAAGAGTGCCGGAATGGAAAGGCTATCATTGCAACGTTAAGCAAACATGCCACGGAAGAAAAACAACATAATGACACAGATCTTACTGGTAGCTATACCCCTTTGGCTTTAAAAGACACCTTTACTATGTGTGGCTCACTGCTTTGTTTTATGAATACGAAAGCACCTAAATAAGCAAACTGTGTCACTGCATCAAAAAAGAAGCTTATCTTCATTCTTCATACAGACTAAATTAAAGAAAAGATTAAACACTTAACGACCCATATTATTATAACATTTCTTAATGTAGTGTGACACTGATTACTGTAATTAAATAGTAATCAAAGGAAATTTGTTTGAAACAAATGCATTGATCATAAGTATTATGCAGGAAACGTTTGGGATAATTACCAGGGAGCGCCGCATCTGCATTAAGATATTCATGAAGCAGTCATAGCCGATTAGTCCTTCTTGACTCAGGGGCACTTTATTTTTCTCCATCGTGCTCACAACAGCAGACGCTGCCAGGGCCATCTCTATCCACTCGAGAAGGTACCGTAAAGAGCCCCTTTGGGCAGCGAGGCCGAGAAGCAGCTCTGATGCCAACCTGCGCCCCAGGGTGTCAGCCCCGGAATTTGGCATGGTCACACCTTTCAGAAAAGTTGTCACTTGGGCCAAACAGTCCAAGCCCATGGGTGGGATTTTGCTCTCGTTGGCCAGCGACAAGGGCGGCAGGGAGCTAATGACATCGATGGCAGTGTGGATGACGTCGTTGCACAGGTTCAAGCCGGGGCCAGGAGGGGGCATCATCCAGCTCTGGCGCAGGAGAGCGAACAGCAGGCTGAGGCCAGTGCGCACGCCCATTTCGATTAACGCGTCCGTGCTGGACCTGGGCCGCTCGCTGACCGAGTGGATGTCGGTGGAGCCCGAGTTGTTCTCGGGCGAGTGCTGCTGCTGCTTCACCTTCCCCTTGTCATGGTACTTGTTGGAGAGCGCGTAGAAGATGCGCTGTAGCACCAGAAGCCGCTTGCGCAGGGCAGCGGCAAACGGGGAATCCGAACACACCATCTTGGCTAGCGCGAGCTGGCTGCCGAGCAAGGCGTCCAGGTAGTGCTCCTGCTCATCGCTGGAGAGGGACTCGCGCTCAAAATCTGGCAGCTGGGGGCCCTTGAGGCACAGCACCTGCTGGGGCAGCAGGACCACCTCTTTGTTGGCCACCAGCTTCGAGTACAGCACCGACACTCCCTCCCTCGTCGCGATGGACTCGCTGTCCTCCATGATCCAGGAGCTGTTGAGGTGCTCCAGCCATTTCAGCTTCACAGGAGGGATCATCAGGGCCATGTTGGATCACTTGGGTGCCATCCGCCCTTGGAGAAAAAAGAGCAAATAAATGAAAACAGACAGGATACAGCAAACACTTTGGGCTTAATGACAGCTATCATTGAAAAGGATCCCAAAACTGCTTTACAGTAAGGCTCTAGCTGGAACAAAACCTGAAAAACAAAGCATGTCCATTCTAGATCAACAGAGTACAAAGCAGACCACACAGCGCGCAAAAAGCCAAACAATCAAAAGGAACCTGTAATGATTTCACCAAAGAAACAGCTTAAAACTTTTACGTTTTTCTTGCTTCAAAGACAAAAGAAATTTTACAAAACAAAGCCTGCATACATGAACAAGGAACATTTTTTGTTCCTCTTTTACAAACTTTTTTGAAGTAGTAATCGAGAAAAATAATATGGAGCTGTAAGCATACTGTGACAGGCCAGTGGACTGACAGGAAAAGAGGACATAAGCAGTCCTATACAAAACATGGCTGTGATACTATATTCTACACACCAGTTTCAAGGAGAAAAAACATGAAAATGTAGCTTTAAAAATTTATTTTAGCAGCAAAACATGATCTGTTAAGATACAAGTTATTCAGTCAATATTTAAACAATGCATGGTACATTAAGGCTAACTACAAATGTAGTTGCACACTGCACTCAAGGACGATGTGGGTCTAATGGCAGTGCCAGCTCCAAAAACCTTCACATTTCTTATCACACTGTAGCACTCACAACTCTATACTGGAGATACTCTTCTAAAAATAAATGCAGACACCAATGGGATTTTTCCAAGCAAAGGTTTTGCAAAATAATTTTCACACACATGGTCTGTAAAATAAGGTTTCATTTTGTGCATGCAATCCACAGAAAATGCAAGATATTTGCTGGGAGAAAAAAAAAAACTATAGTAGAATGATATAGAGAAAATGACACAGCAGAATACTTCTCTGATTTTATGAAAGGCTCAGACAAACTAGAAGGCACATAATACATTATTTCACTATTTTAAATGCACATTTTTAACACTGCAATTCATAAAGACCATGCAATGATGAAGAAACACAATAAAAAGAAATGAAAACAATTTGAGCCATTTAAGCCTTCAGCAGAAAAGACTACGGCAAGACCTGATACAAGTATTCAACATCCTCAAAGACACTGACAGTCAACACAGTGGACTGCTTCTGAATAAGCATGAACCGCAGTATACAAGAGGAACCTACCTACTCTATAACAGGAGGCACTTCTTTAACCAAAGGGCTGTGGGAGTATGGAAAAAACAGTCAGCCATGTAGTTACCGCTAACACCCTGGTTTCCTTCAAGGCTGGATGAGATCCCTGGATCAATAAGCTACTAACTACCAAAAGAGACAGATGCCCTTTGGAATATGTAATGGAATATAACCTTCATTATATCCTGATAAAGATGCTCAGCAAAAATAATCAAATGGATGGCCCGAGAATTCTTTTTCTTTCAGTTCTAAAAATTCAGAGAATACAAGAATGTGAACATTTTCATTACTTTAAGACAGATTACAAATTGGGCCAACCCCTTTGGTTGTGGACACTTATTAACATATACGAGTACAGTTACATTAGACATTAATAAAACCATACTGTATGCCTAATGGCCAGAAGGGTTTGCATGCAAATGTCCCAGAAGGTGATACGCAAGAGAATTTTTTTCATGGTTGGTTGAATTCTAAATGTATCACTGTACTTCAGAAATTTGTAAAAGAATTCCTGCGAAACACTTAACATGCCAGCTTGTATTAATAAAAAACAGGTTACCTTAACATATTTCTATTTCTTTTTTCAAACACACAGCACAACTTGGGAAGCAAATATCACTTTAAATGCAGAAAAACTGTAACAACTTCAGACATCTGTTGAACACCAGAACCATTGACCTGACCAGTTGGGAGTTTTTAAACAAAGTTAGCCAACCCCAGACCTGATCACAGTCCAGCAGCTTTTTATATAAGTCAAATCATCATTTTCTGAACACTAAGAACAATTTTGTCTTGATGATGTCAGAAGGTGATTTAATGTTTAGAAATTGTGTGAAATGAAAATACCACCACCCTGTAGCTCTCAATATTATTATTATTAATTGCTTAATGGAGTTTATTAAACTGAAGTTCGGGAGGGATGACAACAACCACGCTCAATCATTCCCAGCCATAAGTGATTAGCAATCACTCCCTTCGTCCTTCCTCCACCGAACACCATAAATACCGAATGCCATCTCTCTCTCCCTCGCGTGCGACTTCTGCATCCCACCTCACCCCAGCTCCACCTCTGCAGCTGCCCCTTGGTCACCTGGCGGGGGGGGTCCTGGCCTCCTCGTCCTACGGCCAGGAGGTCGGCCCTCAGCCAAATATTCACTCCACAAGAGTTCGTTACGCTTCGATTTTGGGGCGTTGTCATTCCTCGTGAACACTTGTATAGTGCTTTTCTGGACACTCCACTTAAAGCACTTTACAGATTATGAGGACTCCCCTCCACCACAACTAATGTGCCGCCTCACCTCGATAATAAGCCAGTACACTCATCACACACCAGCTATCAGTGGGGAGGAGAGCAGAGTGATGAAGCCAGTTCAGAGATGGGGATTATAAGGAGGCCATGATTGGTAAGGGCCAGGGGGAAATTTGGCCAGGACGCCGGGGGTTACACCCCAATTATTTACGAGAAACGCCCTGGGATTTTTAAATACCACAGACAGTCAGGACCTCGGTTTTACATTTCATCTGAAGGAACGGCGTCTTTTTACAGTATAGCGTCACCGTCACTATACTGGGGCATTAGGACCCACATAGATTGCAGGGTGAGCGCCCCCTACTGGCCCCACTAACACCATCTTCCAGCAGCAACCACAGTTTTTCCCCGAGGAGCACAGTTCACTATTCCTGACATTACACTTACTAAAGATATCAAAACTTACATGAGTTTTAGATCTTTACAGAAGAATGATTTAAGGCTGATCTGTATGACCTGCTCTCTAGAACCAGAGACCACCCAGAGAGGATTAAATCTGAGAGGTTCCCTTTCCCTATGTCTACATTTTACTGTATGTGCATATAAACCTCATTCACACTTTGAGAAAAATATTTCAAAAACAAACTTCTATTTATATTGCAGAGTTGGGAGGACGCACATGATTTTAATGATTTGAAAATAAGAAAGCTCTGCTATCAAAGATGTAAAACAACAGTAGAGGAACGAAATTTCATTCACTCACCCTGATTCACAGTGTTCTACTAAAACCTCCACACAGTTCAAAGGAATATCCGCAGCAATACCCGCTGGATACAGTAATACTGCTTTGTATCATTTTCAACTGTTTTAAAGGTTCTAACATTCATAACATCCAAAGGTTTCCAGCATAATCTAAAAAAGTGCCACAATGCTGAAAGACTACAATTAAACTAGTTTTAATGTAGTAAAACTACGGTATCTTTCATTCTGCATACTCATATAGAGAAGGGAGACTAATCTTTGTTAACAGGTTTCCAGAACATCTACCCTGTAGAACTGTTATCCCCTAAATGTAGTTATGGAAGAAACCCATAATGATTATATTATTGTTAAAAGTTACTATCTACAACTGATTTCCAATCTAGTTTATGCTTGTGTGATGTTGTTAAACCTCAAAGGACTTCCTTTGTAACCCTTACGGAAGGCTCCGTTAAATGGAGTTAAATGGTCTTGAATCGTCTTCTGCGGCCTTCAAAGTTGGACAACAGAAGAATGCGTTTTTTGCAATCCGAAGTATGCAGCAGTGGTCCAGATCCAAACGCTTGGATGGAAAAGCTTTCAGAGGAACATGTTTTCATGTTGTAGTCAGGACAGAGAACTAAAGCAATTCGTTCTCCAGAACCTATTTACAGAAGTTCCTGTTTTTCCTATTACACATACAGCAAAACTATGCCTTTTCCACTTTTCAGTTAAAGGCCTGTGCAAATCTTTGTAACACTTATATAATGTGCTCTTCGAAATCACGACACCACACTATGTAGTCGTCAGTAAATATTAATAACTGTGATTCTGGGGCGTTTTTGGAGCCAGTGTATCGACTCTATGACCATCTACACAAATCTCTCCAGATAACGTTGTACATTGTTTACACAAAGCAGTGCACAAGGCAGAGAGGGACACTGGCACACGACCGAGTTCATTTGCTTCAAAATCTGATGGCAAGCAAGATTAGAAAACCCTTTCAAGCTGAAGTCGATGTTTCATGACTACGGTTTCTCAGTGTGCCAGGGGTTGCTAGCGGCAGCAGCTGCATTCTGACAAGGAGCCCAGCCCTGAAAACTTAACAAAGAGGCCCAGGAGCCGATGTCTCTTCAGCACGCTTCGCACTTACTAAAGATCGCATGTCAGCATAATTTCTCTGGTCGGCTGCCAGGTTATCCAAAAACTCAACGTAGTCAAAGACACCGTGTGGGAGCCAAACGGTTCTAAATGGATCCGTTACCGTTTGGTTTATTAATGGCACCGGCCTTCTCCTAACAGGACCTTTGAAAAACGACCGTTTGCTATATGCCATTAAAATAACCAGGGACGCCTTTAAATAACTGTTCTACACACGCCCTTTTCCTAATGAAAGAATCGGCGTTGCAAATAGCGTTACACCATTTCCCATACAGTAAAACCGTGGCTACAGGTCGAAGCACCTTTTGCTAGAAATGCAAACACCCTCGTCGCACAGAGATACAGTACAGAGACAGACAATGCAGCAGCAGCACCGCGTTGCCAAAGGGTAGGGTCTCCAGGAGCATCACATTATACACTGCTGCTGCTCGAAGCGTTTGCTTCTGGTCCTAAATAATTTAACGCAATGGTTGTCGACAAACGCGCAATTATCTCGGATCCAGCTATACAAGTGAATTTAGCTCGTCTGTATTATGGTAACAGACCGTGTTCAGTACAGTCAAATAGGTACCTATTAGCCGTGTGTTGCCAATAACCGTCAACAAGAGCTTCGCACTACTTAAAAACTGCAAAGCTATTTTTGATGATAGTACTGAAACCATAATCCGTGCTCTAACGTAGCACCTGTAATAAAAATAGAAACGCGACACATCTGATAAAGCAAAGAAGTGCAGTAAGCGAACTGTACGTTCGTTAATTCTGTGGAAATAATTATATTTTAAAGCTTTAAAGTAATAAAGATCATGGCACATTCGTAAAGTATACCTGGGATAAAGACCTTTCTCCAATTATAAATCCACCGTGTCATCCGAATGATAACTACAGTCAACCACCCAAGCAAGTGTAGTGAAATGTCTGGTCGTTGCCATCAGGACCTCCACAGACCTAACGAGAATTAACGCTATATTCCGCAGACATTTAGATGCATAAACCCAGTTTACAGATTATGAAACCATAACTCCCCCACCTACTGTAACAGGATGCGTCCAGTCTCCCCTATCATTTTGTCTCGGAGTGAAATGTATAGGCGGCTTCTCATAGTTACGCGAGCCCCAGGCTGCGAGGCCTACGCCGGCAAGCGCTACGGCGCAGATTCAGAAAAGGCTTACCATCAACTGTCAACGGCCTCTTTGGTCCTTATGCACTGTTGTACTTCATTGCAAAATGCAGAAAAACCGTGCTCCCACACATCACCAGCACTAATGTGTGGTCTTTAACACTGCCAGCATAAAACTGCGCCTTTTCTTTCCGCTAAAGAACAACAACCGGTTAATGTCAGCAGCGACTCCCCATGCTCCCTAATCTCCGCCCTACCTAACTTTCACCGCAATGAAATCAAGCTAACTCTCAGCCCCAACCCCTCTGGAAGGCGCAGTGACGTGATACGTTTACTGTATAAACCCCTCCAGGTAACGCGAACAGGTGAATAAGGGGCACCGAGCAAACAGCAAGACCGAGTTGGGACAACTGCGGTTAGTTGTTGTACGTTCACATGGTCAAACGATGCATTTCTTTGGAGTTAATTATGAACACTGATCTTCAGTTGTAGTAGGTACAGTGAAATATTGCATTTAAACATCAGCATATTTACTTCTGGTGTAGACCTTTTTTTTTTTTCGGGAGACTGGTTCAGTATTTTACAGCCCTAATCATTTGTAGGGTAATATGCTGTAGATGTCTAAAAAAGCTAAAATGCTTCTTTCCTGAATCTACCTCTTTTCCTCATCGTTGGACGATTTAAAAAAGCTCTTGAAATAATGTGTTGTAACTGGTATAGATATTTTAAAATCTATACCATTTTAAAAGTAAAATGACATTATGTAATCTAAATGCATGCAATGTATTCTTCAGAGCTACAAATAACGCTTTATGATGAAGACTTGAGGGTTTTCTTGAAATTACATCAGTTTCACTATGGAAAGTAAGATTACTTTTCCATCCACAAAATACAGTTAAAAGTCCTACTTTTGGGGCACTGCGTGGGGTGGAGGATATAAATCCTTTCCTGATTAGCACTTTGACCTGTGAAATAACTGTACTAAACTTTCCTTTACAGTGTCTGCATACTGTATATGAATGTGTGTATGCGCATTTGCAATTCTCTGACATTTATTTCTACAGACAGAAAAGCCAGTCCATTTGACTATAAATAGTAGGATATCAAAGTAACAGGCCATGCACCCTATAAGGATGTTAACAGCACTGTAGATACATTGTTCTCATTACTTCTTGTCCATTTGAGTAATGTTGCAATGAACAATAACAGTAGCTTTATAAGGAGGATCCTAGGTGTTCTGAGAGGACACAGAGTTTGTATATGCAAATAGCATATACAGTATACAGTAGAACTGATTGCAAAGGACCTGTTTATAAATATGAAACTAACACTTGAGCTGAGAGTGTAGGTGTCTGCATTTTATTGCAATTAATATTTTTGCTGGTATTCCATATTACATGAATATTTACATTCTGGGTTATTAGAATAAACTAAGTTGTCACTAGTACAGTATGTCATTTCTGATGCACAGGAGGAGAACTACCACTAATAATACCATTTCTTTGCATGTGTCTAGTGATGTTTATCTCAAGGCGTTGGAAAGCATTTCCATTCATGGGATGGAACCTACTTACTGTGATCCGCCATTGAAGGGCAGCATCCCGCCACGTGATACACAGCAGTCTCATCACACATCAGATCAGGTTAAATCAAGGGGTAAATTAGTGAGGCCAGGTGAATGCAAAACATAACAAAAACAAAGGAAGGCCATGAGACGTGTGAAATCTCAGAATGAGTTTGACACAGTTCAGCTCTGACTCATCAAGTCGAAGCAGCTGTATGGCTGCTACAGTAGGTGTATCGCATCGTTTGATTATCTCAGTTTTTAAAAATACAAACTTCACACAGATGAGAGCTTGCTGTGGTGAATAATGTGGCCCCTGTTAATTCTACTCAAACTGCAAAGGAAGCACAGACAGAGGATATGAAAGCACAGGTAGCTGTTTTGTTCTGTGTGGTTTTCTTTCTCAAATTACACAGAAAGACGACTGCTTGAGATGTTGGGAGTCACTAAGTAATAGAATGTTCCCGATCATTTTGACCCTTCCTGAAAAATCACATGTATGAACATGACTGCCTCCTGCTAAGGTCAATCAGGCCAGGTCTGAAGCCCCCGAAGCTCAGAGCAGGGAAAGTCAGACAGAATGCAGCAACTTCCGAAAAAGAGCCACAGTGGAACAGTACCTGAGAAAATCAGCCCAGGTTTCCTATTTGTTGTAAACTTGCCGCATCCTGTTTCTCATGTTCGGTCAGCTCTCTTTCTTTCTCTATTTAATATTTCTGAATTGGCTGATGAAGTGTCAAGTTCCTCCATGAGATGGAAGAATGGAGAGTATTTATAACAGTAAGATTAAAAAAAAATGTTTCAGTCTCTGTTTAATTTGGTCTTCCAATATGCTTTTGATTTCCACTTTGGCACCCTCTCAGGGCCAGCTACTGTAGTTGCTCACCAGTAAGGCCTGGATTTCAGACAAACCGAGAAATGAGAGCATCTCATGACCAGGCCTGTTGGAACACATTTCTGAACCAGAAGGAAAGAAAAATTCCCTTTTTTCCATATAATTTCCTGATTGTTTTGCATAAACAATAAACTGTGACAATAATAATTATTAGAATAAATCCCACAGTCAGGGACAAGTGTACTATACTTCTATTCAGATGGGGTCCTTAAGAGGCCAGTAGAATTTCCCTAGGACTTTTTATGAATAATAAATAAATTAAAAGTGAGCTTATTTTCTACTGAGTAATTAATAATAGGAATTTCACACTATCCAAAACAAAATCGATGTCAGCAGACAGAAGTGTTATTCTGCAATCCTGGGTGTTGGTGTTTGTTGGTTAGGTGGGATTCGATTATATTTTCAGGAAATGAAGTGTTGATGTCACTTCCCTGGAGTTTGTGTGGCAGAGAGATTCCTCATGCTGATGGTTGTCCCTTTAGTACGACTCTCTGTCTTTGCTGTGCCTCTTAAGATCTGGGAGATGTCTTGGAGACAGTAATCAGATCCCAGCAGTGAATAAGCTGAACTCATTGCACAAATAAAGTCTTCTCAAAAATCTAAAGAAATGAGATAGAAGAATTTTAAACCAGTGATCTAAAGCCAGAAGCTGAGTTTAATATTAAAAACAACACTATTTTGCTCTATTAATGCTCAGTGTTCTCCTTACAGAAAAATATAAATAAAGCTTAATTTCATCTTGAAAGATGACAGAGTTGGAATACAAACATACCTGCACAGGCAGATGAATAACAAGCTCTAAGGAGAAAAATATTTAAATATTAGAAATAATTATAGTGGACAAGATAAGAATGCTAATTATTACGAGTAATCACATTCTTCATTTTTATAGCTTTTCTGAAACTATACTATAATTAAGTGTCCACCTTGGACACCTTTTCCTTAATTTTGCAAACACTTCTTGACCCGCAAAAGGCAGAAATATTCCACTGCTTATCTGTGGAGAGCAGTTACAAGGCTGGGGAGCAGGCAGACTATCTAAACAACCACTTTACGCCAGCTGACAGACATCCAATGCAGGAAAAAAACAGCAGTGAGAGATACAATACTGAAATGTTTTAGAAAAATGGAAAACAACAAAACTGCAATATACAAGTTCATGAAAAAAGGAAGCAGACATTGAAGCAGATATTTAAAGACTGAAGAGTGGTAGATGTTTTATGTAGGCTCTCATCTTGTGTTGATCTTGTGTTGATATTGCCATTTATGGGCATGCAAACAATTACATGATTATGACTTATTAACTGTAATTGTTCATTTAATGTTATTGTTCATTTGAAGATAAAATGTGCATAGTAATTTTTCAGTCTCTAAATTTAATTAGTCCTTTTTACTGTAGTGTACAGGATCCATAGTCTCTTACAAAGCACTGTAGTAGACTATTCTGCAACATATACCTACTGTATGAATCATAATCAAGACAAAGAGTGGCATATACAGTATTTATATTTTTTTAATTATACAAACTGTAGCCAGGGAAATGTTCTTTTATGTTCCTTGTGAATGCAAATGAAATCTCACAAACAATATCAGTTAAATAAAGTTATGAGTTTTTTTGGTATCATACTCTTTAAGCTCAGTACATTCGTGTCTAGAAATACATAAAAGATAAATTTAGTTCAGGAATATCACCTCTTTCTACTGAGATTCATATCTGCTTATTTCAATAACTCATTTTAGCTGAAATGGCTTTTGAAAATTATTGCTTCTGACTTACCTGGTCAATACTGTACTGGGAAGATATATTGTTATTGACACAATAAGTTATAAAGAAACTCACCACAAAATGGAGACATAACTTGCTCCTTTAACATTGCGTCTTTTAAGATACCATGAGATATATATATATCTAGTTTTCCAACAGAAACAGGACGGGATCAGGCAGTGAACTATGTTTCTTCTGCAGCTCCCACCAAGAGAATTATTTGTTTAAAGTTTTGGCTGACAGTTCAAATACTGTTTTAACTCCCTTTACTTAACCCATTGTTACTGTTCCCAGTAAAGGATCCTGTAGGTGAAACACACACTTATCTGTAGGGCAGGTCAGTGTGTGTTTTTAATAATTACTACGACATTTTACATCCTTCTTCCACCTGGTTGGTGAAACTCATTCTACAGATCTATATCAAGTAAACATCCATCCACCTATTTTCTAAGCTCTTCTTCCAATTCAGGGTCGTCGGGGAGCAAGAGCCTGACATGGCAAATAAAAGGAGCAAGGCAGGACACAGCCTGGACAGGACAGACACAGAGACACCCATATCCAGGCTGATTTTCCCAGAAGCCAACTGACCTACCAGTATGTGTTACCAGTATGTGCCAGCAGCAATAGCACCCTGCAACTCACAACTGGCAACCCACTGAAGCTCAGCAGGCGTGAGCCTGGCCAGTACCTGGATGGGAGACCTCCTGGGAAAAACTAAGGTTGCTGCTGAAAGAGGTGTTAGTGGGGCCAGCAGGG